CTTGCTTTATAACCACGCTGCATAAGAAAGCTGCTTATTGCCATGGCATTCAGTAGTCATGACAATCCATGTTCCTGAAAGCCGCTTGTTGCCAGGACAAGCATGTCAAAACACATTTTATTTTATTCGCGTCACCCATTTTGACCAATTCCGAGCGAAATGGCGGCTGCTCTTGCGAAGCGATTCGCAGCGCTTTTTTCACACAACCGCAACCAGCGCAATGGGCAGACTCGTAGCAACACGCACATACTCAACCCTTGTTTTTTCGAGGCTCTGAGGCCAAGTTACGATGTTTTTTGCTCAGGGTCTCCATTGTACTTTGCTGTCATGCTCGGCTTCTTCATGCGCAGACCTTCCGTGCTGGCCGTGAATAAAGTTGGGGGCGGGGGGTTGGATGGGGGGATGGAACCAAAGTTGGGGGACGTCACTCGTCCAGGCGAAAACACTACACTGTATACGCTTATGGAGGTGTGGTTTTAGACTGCTTGTCGTCTTTAGTCTCGCATTGAGCTCGCTCGGTGGTCAGCTTAACGAACGATAATCGTAAGCTGGCAAGCGTGGTGGATGCAGAGAAAGGGATTCTTTTCAAGAAAAACAGCGTCGATCGTATATCCTATCTGTCTGCTTTTCCCAGGGTGCGCGTGAAGTATGATACATGCGAAAAAAGCAAACCAGATTGGCTCGGAACGTATCCTCCGAACTAACTTTTTTCCTTTCCATTATTTTCGCGAACTGAACTACGCGAACACAGAAAGTAAAAAAAAAAAAGATAAAAAACAGTGCCAAAGTGTGATAATGCGCGTTGTGATCGTGTTACTGTCGTCTGTCATTGTTGTGCGCTTTGTTGAGCACGGAGCTTATCTTTGCCTATTTTAGTTTTTTGTACGCAAAAAAAAAGATACAGGAAAGGAAAAAAAGCAAGCGTCCCTTCAGAATCTCATTGGGCCCAGACCAGCGTTCTTTTTGGAAATGAACTTTGCCCATAAAAAGACACCCATTTTCCGCAGCGTGTTGCTTCCTCGCTTTTTCTTTCACTTTTCACTTTTCACTTTTTCACGATCACATATGGTAAGTTCCTCTCTTTTTTTCTCTCTTTTTTCTGTGGATGTGTGGGGAGGGAGGGGGGGGCTAACGCGGGTTTTTGTGGGTCGTGGGTGGGTGGGTGGTGCTTGTTTTGTAGGCACGGGCGACGAAGGTGCAAGGTAGGTGGTTGAAGGTAAGTGAGTGGGTGTGTGGGTGTGTGGGTGGTGCTTGTTTTGTAGGCACGGGCGACGAAGGCGTAAAGGTAGGTGGTTGAAGGTAAGTGAGTGAGTGGGTGGGTGGGTGGGTGGTGCTTGTTTTGTAGGCACGGGCGACGAAGGCGTAAAGGTAGGTGGTTGAAGGTAAGTGAGTGGGTGGGGGGGGGATGATTGGTGAGACCGGACTGGGCATCTCAATACCAATCGACTTTCGATGATCCACAAAGCGACCAAGACAAGACCCTAGCTTTGTGGTAGAGGGTTACCGCCTAAGACATCGACACCCTATTATTGATTAGTAGTATCATGTATCAAATTAAAAATGCTTCTCGTTCGCTGAACTTATTTGTGCGTGTTTTATACAGTAGTGTTGTAAGACTTCTTCATATATGCGAGCGAGACTCGTCATTCTCGTTCCTAATTGCACAATAAAGACATTTGCATTGAGCAACATAGTTGCCATTCGAGATCGTTGCTAAAGTGACATTTGATTTTGTCAATAACAATGCTGTGATTCGGGAATAAAGGAGTCGACATTCAGAATGAGGCAGCCAACACCGGCCCAGGTCTGTTTGTTAAAGGCTATTATCAAATAGAAGGGCTGTAAACCAGATCCTCCTTCTCCTACCGTTACCGAGCTTCACCACTTTGTCCTTGGCAATTTGTTTCGTACACTTTGCTTTGGCGCACGTGTACTGCACGGTCATCTATTTTTGCGTCCTTACGTCTTGGTGAATTACCTCGCCTATGTCGCTTGTTACTCTCCGTCGCATTGCTGGCTTTCTGCACTGACTGATCGCTTTGCTCTCGTCGGATCTGCGCCAACGACGACGATCTCCGATACAATAGTTTATGCCGTACTGCATTGTGTACAAGACCGTGCGCTGGCAACGTTTTTACCCGATACCTTCGTTGACATATATGATCGGCATACGGCGTGGGTTTACGTGATCTCAATGACATGCCCGATGGTTGAGCACCATCGTTCGCTATTGTTCACGTTAATTTGCACCCTTTGAGCTTTTAACCCTGGGAAATTTCAAAGTTGCGGGGGATGGCAGAAAAACGCTAATAGCAGAGAGTGCTAGTGGGATTGTTCTCGTTAACTTTCACGCTCACTATTTTCCATTCAACATTTCATAATTTGGTCCTATCTTCTGCACGTGACGATGAAGTACTCTTTTCTCCTGAAATAACTATATTCTCCCCAAAACATGTTGCCTTGATGGATTTGACATACGCTCTTATGATATATGAAGATTGCTGCGGTGCCATCTTTTTTTATCATTATATGTGATCATTAAAATGACCATGATCATCTTGCTGGTTAACACGTATTAAAAAAAGGCGACTGCCGCAAAAGGTGAAAGCAATGAGATTTAATGTCGGTGGGTTCTCGTGCAATTCTCTCTCAGCGAAAAAGCAGCGACGTATACTACCTTCTCCTCGTTGTACTCTTTACGTAAATTTTTTGGAAATCAACCTTCATGCGCTGTTTTTTTACGTTTTATCCTTAGTCTTCCGCTCTATCCTTCCTCAATATCAAACATCATCTACGTCGCTCAATAAAACGCCGCAATTGTGATGTGGCACTTGCTTATAGCAGCAGTTCGACGAAGAATAAGCAGAGCAGACATTGAAGCCGACGATGAGTATTCGTATCAGATATCCGCAGCGAACGGCGATCGTTCAGGTGACGAATACACCAAATACAAGGCACCGCCTTAAATCGCTTAAACAGCCATACCGCCACGTCCCAACCTGAGGATCAATCAATCGAGGAAGGGAAAGGCATCCTCGTCGTTGTCGTCGTCATCGTTATTGACAGGATGAGCATCATCAATCAGTAGTGCTCCAACGGTTAAGGAAATTATTGTTCGTATGGTCTTAAAGAAGCACAGCGTGGTCACAACTTCGCTACTTACTAGGCTGGTCCTTTGGTGAAGTGATCGGTTTAGCGTGGATCTTGGTCTAGCGGATTTCGATTTAAAGCGCCGGGTCCTGTGTGCTCAACTCTGTTCATCATCGCAGCAGATGATAACGCTGAGCCAGTATACGTGCCTTCACTCGGGTGATGGTTCTATCTAACTATCCCTCTGCTGGACTCTTTAGCACAAGCGGTATGGACGAAGCGAGATGGCCTTCGTAATCAGCTGGTCTAGCTGTGATTCACGTACTTCAGCAAAGTCAACTCGTTTGGCTTCAACCGCGAAGGTCCAGCTTCCCAAAGGCTTAGACGCCATCTGTCCAGCGTTGCAAACTTTGCGACAAGAGCTATACTCGACGCATTTGAAGCGACATACATCTGATCCCCGAAACGAGGACCAAGAGTTCGATCAAACTATGGATAACCTTCTATGTTCATAAGCTGGTCTGACTCGAGGCCAATGAAAGAAGGCACGGAAGATCTGACCAACTGAGCTATGAGAATGAGGAGTACGACAGTGACGAACCAGCACCCGAACAGGCCCTACACGGTAGCGCATCAACAACGGCAGAGAATCGCACATCACCCCGACAGTATCATCCCTACACATGGGTCCCCTGCTACTCTATTCGCATTGTTACGCAGGCCTGTCAGACACGGCGCCTGACCACACTTATATCCCTATCATACGTACCGCAAGAAAGTGGATTATATCCCCTGTAGGGGAAGGTCCATAAATCTTTCACAATGAATTACACACTTTTCAGCTAAGAGCAGATAAGTTTTTGTTTTTCAAAATTGATGTCTTGTTTTCACGTCACCACTAATACGTTAACACGACGACACCTTTCCCTTTTTCCTGCTTGGAAAGAGGATGGGGAGGCGGCAGAGAAACCTTCATCACTTTTCGGTGATTTTGCCATGGGAGGGGATGGGGAGAGCCACGCTAATACAGTATTGGCTGATTGATAATGAAAAGCCCATTCATGGTTGCATCAATTGGTTATTATAAATATGTGGAACTTCTTGTTGTCGCTCGGACCACATCGTTTTGAAAACACTGCTGCTGTATGTAAATAGTGGGGGTTCTTACGAAGCTCGGGGAGCGCGTCGATCTCGCTCTATACCGCGTAACTGATATGGGGCTCTTTCCGAAAGCCTACATTTTTTCCGCCGTTTTCGTGAGATATGATAAATAACCCAATTTGCTGTGGGTCTAAAACTGTATCTATCGTTTAAACGTTATTGCACCGATTACTTGGGCGGCTTATTGTGGCAGCAGATTTGGTACGAGGTAGAGTTGTGATGAGAATGCTTACTGCCGGTGCAACTCTATCCCCAGTTGGTGTCTATGAAGCGATATGTTGCAGTAGTCACTACTGTTGTTTCTATATTTATAAAGACACCTCTTCCAAGATTTGACAGTAATCGTGACGGTCTTTTTTGCAACCTTACAATAACCAATACCTTGATGATGTGACTATGTGTAGAGATGCTACCCTTTGATCGTGTTCATCATACTTTTTGAATTTTTATCCACCTTGACATTTTTTTGTGGCGCATATCGGTCAACACAGTCGAGGAACAATGGCACACTGTCGTGGTTTAGAACTGACAAGCTTAACAAACACATTTTGGGCTCCGTCAAGTGCCCCCCGCGAAATGTTGTCACCGATCCCAGGAAAACATGTCCAGCGGTGCCACTCTCGCATCAATACCGCCGTGAAGACCTACTTGTCAAAGTCAACGATACTCTGCGGTGCATCGATCCAGTGTGTCCCAAGCAGAGAATCGCCACACTCACAACAGGGACCAAGTCGGATCCATCAATATTGCCTCATTTGAATTTCCACCACCAACAACACACCATCAATTTCTCCTAGAACACGCTCACTTTTTAATACCATTTCTCCCTACATGGAGCAATTGCTGACGTGACAATGGTTAACGTTTCTTCATGTCTATAACGTGACATTAGATAGAAAAGAGTACGCCTGAATCTTTTTCTCCCTCTCCAAAACGTTCTAAATAACAATCCGCACTTTTGTTTGCATAATGATAAATGGATTGAATGCTCGTACCATAGAAACCAGAGAAGGAGAGATAGGGAGGACATTGTGTAATTGTATTAGATATGTAACGCGGCTGTCAACGGGCTATATACATGGACAAAGGAGGAACTACCACTTTCTCTTGACCTACACACATAAGAGACACGCACGTCATCGTTAGTAAATAAAGGATGATACGGAGGAAGAACATAGTGAGAGGGTAATATGTGTTTGCTTTTTTTATTTTTACTCACGGCTTTTTGTACGCATTGCTTGAAATTCTCGAATTCCTTGGCACACATGTCCTTGTGTGCATCTTGGTATTTCGCTGCTATGCATTGGCCATAAACAGTTGCCTGTGTTGAGCAAGAGGCGACGCCTTGAGCCAAAAGACCAACACCTTTCGATCGATTCATTTTGTAGAGGTAGGGTAAAAAAAAAGAAGTATGTAATAAAAATTGGGAGTATTAATGCCCCGCATAAGGCGTGCAGCACGTCACATGGGAAAGCTGGCTGGCTGTGGATATGTGAGAGCTTCAAGTCCTTTTTCCTTGTGACACATGCGTACCGTTCTTTTAAACGCTAATGTCCTTCCGACGACTGAAAATTCGACCGGCCAAGAAACCCGTAAGATCTAGCAACACTATGTTTTTTTGTTAAAAATAAATTACAAAAACTCTTTGCATGGATAAAAAGAAGCGATTGACGTAGAGAGAGTGGACGGGTTATTTTTAACGAATTCTTACAGGCCACTGTCGATCGTGCACAAGAATTCGACGATGGATTCCAACTACTAAGTCAAGCGATTACAGAGATCTTTCGCAAGAACGCAAAGAGTTTATCATACGAGGTGTTATATCGCACGACGTATAACCTGACGCTACGGCAGTTTGGCGAACGACTGTATCATGGAGTAAAGGAGGTTGTGGCTAACTACTTGGAGGACACTGCCGAAGAAGCTATCGTGCCTGCGTTTGTGAATACGTCAGGGGAATCTGCGGGAAGTGGTGCCGACGCTGGTGCCAACCTTTTAAAGACGGTCAAACGTGTCTGGGACGATTATACGACGGCCATGGATATGATTCAAAAATTCTTGCGTTATCTGGTAATGCTTCGTTAATTTTTATTATACAAATCCAGGGGGGGGGGTTGCGAATGGCTATTCGGGTATACGCGCATTGTATACACGCCCGATATTCATCTATTATTTCGCTTTCTATAGGACGACAAACTGCCCAAATACAACTTACCACACATCTTTGACATGGGCCTTGCGCTATTTCGCGACAAGGTTGTTCGGTCCGAGAAATATCCTATTCAATCGCAGCTTATTTCGGCAATGTTGACACAAATCCAACTCGAACGTCATGGTGAAGTGATTGACCGAACTGCGGTAAATTCGGCAGTAGTAATGCTTTCGGAACTGGTCGATCCAACTACGCGCGATAGCGTGTACGTGGTGGATTTCGAAACAAAGTATTTAGAGACCAGCACCGCATTTTATCAGGTCGAGAGTCAGACTTTGGCATCGTCGTACGACGCACCTGAGTTCATGCGAAAGGTAACAGAAAGAGAAGAGACTAAAAAAACAAAATGCCGCTTATTCCCGGGTTTCTATTGATCGATTTTTATCCCCTTTTCTCCAAACAACAATTTTTTTTAATTTTCTCCATATACTAATCATGATGATGATGATTAGGTGGAACGACGATTGGAGGAAGAATACGAACGTACAACAAGATGCTTGAGTCTGACAACTGAACCCAAGATTCGACATATCGTAGAGACGCAATTGATAGCTAATAATTTAAAAACGGTGATGGAGGTAGGACAGAATTAGAGAGGGGGATGATGACTAAAACTAAAGAGGACATGGAAAAAATGGATCTAACGCCCTGGATCCTTTCTGTTATAGATGCAGCATTCGGGCTTGGATAGCATGTTGAGTGCCGATAAATACGGGGGTAGGTTATAAACAAGGAAAAAGAGATTGGAAGGGAAATACGCGCGCAAGTAGAGCAGCATGCTCAATAGAACCATTCAAAACAATAATTGTATAGATCTATCACGGATGTACAAGTTATTCTCACGCGTCCCAGCGGGTCTGAACGAAATGAGAACGGCGATCAAAAATCACATAATGCAACTGGGTGCAGAAATCAACAAAACCATCAATGCAGATCTGGCTGCGAGCGGCTCCAAATCAACATTGGCGGCACGAACGCCGGCGGAGAAAGCAAATGCAGGGAGTGGCGCACAGACGGCAATTCGTTGGGTTGAACAAGTGCTGGCACTTCAAGAAAAGTTTGACCGGATTTTAGAGCTGGCTGCTAATAAGGACAAGTCATTTCAAACTGCATTTAATGAGGTATGATGGTTTCTTTTCTTTTTGCGATCGAGGAGTTTGGGTGGTAAGGATTAGACGAAGGAAGGTCGATGGTATCATTTGTTGTAATGGTGACTTTGAACTTTTCATCTTCTTCTTCACATGTATAGGCATTTGAAAGTTTCATCAACGAGAACCCCAAATCAGCCGAATTCATTTCGCTGTTCATCGATGAAAATCTCAAAAAGGGACTCAAGGGTGTAAGTTTTCTTTTCTGTTACGGCAATTTGGAAACAGAGTAGAATTGGATGGAATGGAATAGTGCCTATTGGAGGTAGGAGAGAGAACCGAATAACTCACCTTTGAATGAACATCCTAATAGAAATCAGAGGATGAAGTGGATAACGTGCTGGACAAGACGATCACATTGTTCCGATTCTTGTGCGACAAGGACGTATTTGAGCGTTACTACAAACAGCACCTGGCCAAACGACTCTTGTTCAACCGCAGCGTTTCAGATGATGCAGAGCGTGGCATGCTTGGAAAACTAAAGGTACCGCAATACCGTCATCATTATCAGAATGATTTACACGTGTGTAAAAAAAAGAAAACTCATTTGACTAACGGGTTATCTGCTTAATTTGTTATAGCGAGAATGTGGCTATCAGTTCACGAACAAGCTCGAAGGCATGTTCAACGATATGAGATTGTCTGCTGAAATGAGTGGCCAGTTTAAGGAATATGCGGAGCAAGCTATTACAAATGTAAGCTCTTCCACTGAGAGAGAGGAAGTGGGAATATGAAATTAACAAGGCGTCCTTTTTTTTCCAACACTAGAAACCGACCATGGATGTCTCAGTTATAGTACTCACATCAACCTTTTGGCCAATGAATCTCTCTTCATCACCCAAGTGCACGCTAGCCCAAGAAGCATTGCAAGCATGCAAGGTTTTCGAACAATTCTACTTTGGTCGCCATAGTGGTCGACGGTTGACTTGGCAACCGCAAATGGTAATTGACACTTTTTTTTTTTTGCATCTTTGCTGCTGCTAATTTGCTAATATCTTGTGTATTATGAACGTTAAAGGGCACTGCTGATATCCGAGCAAACTTTAAAAAGAGTAAACATATGCTGAATGTATCCACATATGCCATGTTGGTCCTTCTTCTTTACAATGATTTGAAAGAGGGTGATTTCTTGAGCTTTGAGGTAAAATTCTATAACTGAACCCTTCTCACTCTTTTGTGACTTATATTAAACCATCTGTTATTTATTGGAACTATGCAGGACATACAAGCACAAACACAAATCCCCGACAACGACCTAAAACGCACACTACAATCCTTGGCATGCGCCAAATACAAGATCCTTACCAAGGAAAACAAGGGCAGAGCCATCCTATCCAATGACAAATTCTACTTTAACCAGGACTTTACGGCCAACCTGGCGAGAATCAAAATCCAGACGGTTGCCAACCGGGTCGAATCGGAAGGCGAGCGGCGGCAGACACAAGACAAGGTGGATGAGGAACGCAAACATCAGATTGAAGCTGCGATTGTGCGTATCATGAAAGACCGTAAAACCATGGAACACAACCTGCTGATTGCTGAGGTTTCCAAACAACTCAGTGCTCGATTTATGCCCAATCCAGTCATGATCAAAAAACGTGTCGAGGCTCTAATAGATCGTGAATATCTCGAGCGAAGCTCAGAAGACAGGTATGTATTTATCTATTGTTTTTAAAAAAGACAAGCGTGTGTATTTGTGAACATCAAAGAGTTTTGCTAATCTTGTTTTTTTTTTCATTTACTCTATGTAATAGACGTGCCTATCGTTATTTGGCTTAGAAAAAATACCCCCCCCCCCCAACCTTCAAACCCTACAGAAACATCATCTTTTGCCAACGAACTTAATATAACAAAAACTGTTTGTTTCCTCCTAGGTTTCTGCTTTTGACCAAAAGTCACCGTATTAGTAAATAAACTGTTGTTGACGGTGACAATAGCTCTTACAGTGAAAGTCTAACTCGATGTCAGCCTTAATTGAGTATACAAAGTCAGTCCATCTAATAATAAAAATAGACATGTACGAATAACATGTAGTTGCCCACTAGGTCCCCACCGTACCACAACAAAGTATCATCCGTCTACGCATGCGAAATTGACTATGCCTCCCTTGATGCCCCTTTCCCCAATTCGTTCCTCATCTTTACATATGCACATGATAGAACGGGTCACCATTTCGTCTCTTTATCGCATTGAGCAGCTGGTGTGCTCTCTAGTACATACACAAGCATCCTTTACAAAGAGACGTAAAAGTTTTATCTATTACAATCGTCCCTATTGTTCGTAACATTCACAAAAAGTCTTAGAAAGGTCATCCCTTTGAGCATCATCACTCAGAGGAAATAAAAAGCAAGTAGCTTGACATGCGTATACAGAACACTATATATCGAAAGCGGGGGAGACCAACACCTTCTATCTCAAAAGTTCAGATATACTACGGTCTTTTCCGCTCACCGACGTCAGAGTCCAATTCCTTAACACAACCCTGCGTATCAAAAAAACAAAAAACTGATAAAAACCGCTACACATAGAAAATGGAACTATTCTTTTAAGTCAGAATGCAATGTTTTTAATGAACAAAAGAGAGAGAGAGAGAGAGAGAAAGTATTGAATAAAAGTGTGTGCTATAGAAAGATGTATGCAGAATGCTTATAAGATTATTTTCTTTTTCTTTTTTTTCGGGTAGTGGGTGGGATGAATGTGGGCTATTAAAAAAGTAGTCTTTATGGTGCCAGACATGTTGCTTTGTTTCGTTGATTACTCTTGTGCCGTTTGAGAGCATCCAATCTATAAAAAAAAACCACAAAGTTTCAAGAATTAGGGGAGGACAACAACAACAACACGACGCTTTGCCAAAAGCAAGAAAAAAAAAAGATGTTTTTTACCTAGAAAATGTTTTGTTGCAGCCCAAGCATTTGTGCGGTTTGTCACCTCCGTGTATCTTGGCATGTCGTTTCAAATCATGGTTCCGACTGAATGCAGTCTGACACGCAGAACATATGAACGGACGATCATCGGTGTGTGTTCGTGAATGGCTTTTGAGATTGTAGAGACGAGCAAATGTTTTGCCACAGTTCGGAAACAGACATGGATACACGGTTTGTGTTTGGTCGTTGATCGTGGTCGTGATGGGTGCAGCTGAGGCATAGATGGACATGGCCGCCGACTGCGTGTCTGCAAGCGCAGGATCGGACCGTCGACGTTTGTGACCTGGCGTAGCACGCGGTGCTGGTTTCGGCCCTGCTACTGTTGCTGTCCGTGTGTTGCTGTTGTCGTTGGTGGAGGAGGATGATAATGCGGGGTGTTCGTTCGAGGGTGTAGTAGTAGTACTAGGACTGCTTGTTGTGGTGGATGGTATCTGGAAATGTTGGCTGGTCGCCATGGCAGCCACGGCAGCTGCTACCGCTGCTGCATTGTCGTTGCTACCGCCGGCCTGTGCAAATGGATTGGAGAGGAAATAGGGATGGTTGGCAAGAATGGAGAGGGATGTGTTGGATGGGGACGAGTTAGAGGAAGGTGAGTCGGTAGTGTTGTTGTTGTTGTTTTCATCGTCTTCACGACGGGCGGTCGTTGTGTTGCTGTTGTATTGCTGCTGTGCATACAAGGCCAATGCCGCGGCATCTGCAAAGTTAAGTGCGGGTTGTGAGTCGACGGTATTATTGTTATTATTAGTGTCAGTTGCTGAAGAAGAGGATGGGGAGGCGAGGGTGTCGGAGGAAGTGGACGCTACTGCTGCCGCTGCAGAATTGATGGTGCCTAGGAGCGCTTGTGAGATTAAGGCCTCGATGGCTTCATGATTGCCTTCTTTTGCTTTCTCGGTGATTTTTTGCACAAAATCAAATGCGCTGTTGCCGATACTATCATGCTGGTTGTTGTTGTTGTTGTTGTCGTCGTCGTGGTGGTGCTGTTGTTGATGATGATGATGATGGTGGTGGTGGTGGTGAAGATCGTCTTGGTGATGAAGATGGTGATGATGAAGGGTGTTATTGTTACTATGTAGACTTGGCGATGGAGGCGCTGAGCCTTCCACGTCAATATCATGCTGCCACTCGCCGTCTTCTTTCTGCTCCCTTATCTTGTTTTGCAGCCATTCCGTATCCACGTATTTGCTCGACAATGAATTGTCCCATCGCTGCTTCAGCTGTTTCCCTTTGCGACCCGGGATCATGCTCGCAATCTCCTTCCATCGACCATACCCAAAGCGCTTAATCCCCGTGATGAGTAGATCATCTTCTCCTTGAGTCCAGCTGCCACGTTTGTAGTCCTGATCATCGCTACTCTGATGCTGTAACTCAAGTGCGTCAACAGCTGCTTGCGACAGACCGGGATAGTTGGCAATAAGCATGACATTGCTGTCATTCATGTGCTGCTGATGATGATGATGATGATGTTCCTCCTTTAAGCTATCGTCTGTCGGATGCTTAATGTCCTCATGGTTGTCTGACGACAATATCTCCTTGTCCTGACTATCCCCTTCTTCTTGATGGGACAATCCCAACATTTGAAGAGCTGTTGCTGCCGTTGCTTGATCAATCCATTCCGTTGATTTTTTCCTCTCTTGCGGATGATGATGTTCATTGTTTTCTTCAGATGTAGAGGACGTAACCGTGTGTGTCGTCGTCGTCGTCGGTGATGATGAAGAGGAGGAGGTTGTAGCAACAGTAGTCGACAAGAGACTTTGTAATAATTGCTGTTGCTGCTCATATGTTTTCTCCTTTAAACCCTCGAGAGAATCTAAGATACCTTTCTGTGTAAGTGGACTTGGATTCAAATCAAAAGAACCGGCGCTCCAACCTCCCCCAACAAAAAAAAAAATAGCAAACCTGGCTTGGAGGTCAAATGAGCTGCAACCACATTAACAACGTCGTTCAAATCCCCATTATTCTGACTTGCTTCAGCGGCAGCTTGTTGCACGTTTTGTAAAATGGCTGTCAAAGTAGCCAGTGTGTCGGCCGCAGTTGTTGTGGCAGACACTGACTCACTATTAGAATCTGACGTTTCTGCTGCTGTAGTTGCTGTTGTTGTCAATGGTGAAGCTATTTCTTTGTGGGGTGTTGTGGGTGTTGGCGATGCCGTAATGTCCAACGCAACATTGGTCTCTTCTACAGCTGGCGGTACTATCGTAGGTACTGGTGGTGGTGGTGACGACTGTTTGACAAGTCGTGCCAACTCTGGATCTTGATGCGATCGTCGTCGATTGCTACTTTCGGCGGCAAAGAGATGCACTCGTGCCATTGTGTTCTTGGTTCTTTGTTGCTGTTGAACATGATAGTGTGTACCAAAGGGTTATATAGGACGTGTGTGTGTGAGTTATATATATTACTTTAAAGCAGACTTGGTCCTCTTATATTTTTCCCTATTACTTCATACTCACCCCGTTTGTGGTGGCTTACTTGGGAGGCTTGGTAGAAAGAGGCTTTGCCCAGAGTTACAGATCCAGAACGGAACTTGCCTCTCTCCCTCTCCACACATCTCGCTCTCCGGACAACTGACCGGACCAGAGAGACCGCGGAAAAGTTTTTTTTTTTTTGTCATTCCGCCAATAGTTCAGTTCATCAAGTCTCGGCTGCTCGGCTGATCGTTGTGCCTTTCGTTTTCGCTCTCCTTTCCACCTGTCAAATATTGAGGGTCCGGTCCATTTTTAACCCTCTCAGTGTTGGTGGCCCCCTCCCCCCGGGGGATTGTGGGTTCAAACCAACAGAGTGGAGATCACACACACCCTTGCTTTTTGAGTACAACATATTACTATTAGCGTGGGATTTTGAAACAAATGAGGCAAAAGAACTCCCCATCTTTTTTTACACGTTTGGGTTAAAAGATAACTTGAAGAAAAGGAAAAGCTTGTTACAAAGACTTTTGACATTTGTCATGATAACACTCATGGGTCGGATATTACTTTCTACTTTTTAAAAACTTCGGAAGTGATCTCGTAATACAATAGCCGAAGAAACACACAATGGGGGCGGGAAGAGGAAATTGATCGAACGACAAAAAAAAGATAAAGATGATGACTCAAATGTTTTGTTTTTTTCCAAATTTTCAAAGTAAGAATCATACAAGTACATAAGACATTACGAACAGCAAAAAAGAATAAAAGGATAGATAAGACAAAGGGTGGGGTGGAAAGTAGAGTTAGTAAGTGAGAAGAGCGACAGGGATGCAGATGACATACAAAGTGGGAGGGGGTTAGCGACTAGATAGAGAGTATAAAGGGTTAGAAAGATTTCCTCCCAACTTTTTCTTTTCTTTTGGGCGGGTTGCTAGTAGTGAGGAGTGGGGGGAGGATATGTTGGCGTGTGCTAAAATGTGTGTGTGTGTGGGGAAGATGTTCAATATGAGCGTGCAGATAGAGCGTATATCTTTTATAAAAAGAAGACTTAATGGTGGTGGTGTCGATATGCAGATGCAGAAGAGGTAGAGAGAGTAGATGCAGAAGACGATTTTGTAGGATGATGATAGTAGAGAGGATGTAGTTTCAACAGTCGTTCGCGCTGTGCAGTTTCATTGCCGTACTCTTCATCGGCAGGGATGTTCAGACTCGGGGCATCAAGGGCTCCATGATGGTGGTGGTGTTGTTGTTGCTGCTGGCGACGCAGCACATCATTGGCAGGAACAACCAGGGCGGCAGGCGTGGATGGGTATTTGATGTTATGTTTGGCCAAAAGCTCTTGTTGCATACGAAGCTGGTGCTGCAACAGTTCCAACTGCTTTTGCTGGTTCTTGTGAGCCATCAAGGCTGCCAGTGTCTCGGGTGCCATGGCATTCGTAGAACCACTGCTGCTGTTGTGGCTGTTGTTGTGGCTCCTACTACTGGCATTACCATGACGATAGAACGAAGCACGGTTCATCACCATGCGACCTTCGACTTCAAGACGCAGCTGCAGCGAGGCAAGCTTCTCACGCAGACCGCGATTGCGTTTCTCCAGATGCCGGACATATTCAACCGCTTTGAACAAGATTGTGCTCTTTGAATTGTTGATGTTCTTTAGCGTAGGAATGATATCGGTCAGCTCTTTAAAACCGTTGCGGATGGTGTTGCGACGTTTTTGCTCAGAGGCAATGTGGTTGGCACGCCGTTCTTCATCCGTGAGAAGTTCACGCGCTCTTTGTTGTTGTTGTTGTTGTTCCTCGTCTTGTGTTGATGACTGGGCTGATGCGGATGTAGTAGCAGTAGTAATAGTAGCGGGAGGCTGATGAAGATGATGTTGTGGTTGTTGTAAAGTAGAAGAGGTGCTAGTAGTAGTAGTAAAAAGTGGGTCGGTTAACCGTCGGTTGTGATGATATTCAGGCAACGATGCGTCAGAAGGTCGACGTTTCCGTGACATGGTTGTCTGTTGGAGATAAATTGGTTCAGGTGGGGTCACGATCGTAGGACCAACGTGATTTTCCTATTGTTGTTGTGTGTGTGTGTGTGTAAGTTTTCTATCAGTTCTAATAAAAATTGCTCATGGCAGTCTTTCTGAGGGACTTACCAAGGATCCCATGTCAAAGAACGTCTCAAGCAAATCATGGTATTCCGGTGGAGGTTCCTGCTTTGCTTGTATGTAAAAGTCGTCATCTGCGGGAATGGCTAGGCTGGCTGTCGGATCAAATCCTGTTATATACATATTTTTAGTACATGTTCTATTTATCTCTGCGTTATAATAATGATGATGATGATGATGATGATAAACAGTCCACACACCTTCAAAGGGGCCATTGTCCTCGGGGTCAATAACACTTTCGGTCGAATCGTGTCCGGAATAAAAGGAAGGGGCGGTGCAGTTGGTGGAGGTACTCGTCACACTGGTAATACTCGACGCCTTGTGGGTGGGGTCGTAATTTTCATCCATTGTTATTTGCTGGTCAGACATGTTGGGGTGTGAGCCATACGTGTGGTATGTGTGAGTAGAGCTAGGTGAGAGAGTAGGTAAGGGTGAGGCAGTATGTGTGTGGAAGAGAGAAAGGGAAGAAAGAAAGAGAAGAACTGGTTCTGAGAGGAGGTTTTAACAACGACAGACGACGTGCATTAAAGAGACACACACACAGAGACACAGAGACAGAGAGAGAGACAGAGACTCTGTGAGAGAGTGAGAGAGAGAGACCGGCAATGGTGTGGAGTCAGCACAAACAGACGTGGCTTTACTCCGCTCTGCCTCTCAAGTTGCTTTCAACCGTGCTTATGTGATACCCTTTGCAACATTCACCTCATCTGATGATTTATTCTTTGTCACAGCTGAGCCCACCGTTTGTGCTGACTCCTTGCAATCATCATCTCGCGTGAGTGCGCACCTACACGCTCACACACATCTTCTGTTCAAAACAGCCACTACTCACCCTCACCTTCACCCCCACCTTACGCTCTACTCCACCTCCACCTTTTTACTCGGCCTCCCCCACATTTGTTGTACCTCGAAAAAAAAAGTGTGGCAAATCCCGTAACCCCGAACCCGACAACCTCCGTAGGGCTCGCACAACATATGGTTTCACATGCGTTTCCCCACACTCTTGACTCTCTCTCTCTCTCTCTCTCTCTTTCTTTCTTCTTCTCTTTGTCTTGGGCACTAATAAAAAGGCTTTATTCTGCTTGAAAAGGAAATATCAAATATATGTATATGTATCATGGGGTGGAGGGAAGAGTAATAAAGGCTTAAACACGAGCATCCATCGAACGGCGATGATGATGATGATGATGATGATGACGATGCTCGTCAGTAGTAGAAGAGGAAGGAGGGGTGAGGGGCATATGATCTTCCTTAGTGTTGTTCTTGTTGTTGTTGTTGTGTGCCAATGCAAACAAAGACATAAGCGCATTGGCCACACCCGTGTTTTTCTGTTGATCGACAGTACCGGTGACCGCCATGACTTGATCCAAGTTTTGCAACATGGCCGTCGTCCGTGTCAACAGTGACGTCAGGTTGCTCACCTCACGCTGCAATTCGTGACGGTGCGCTTCGAGCATTTGCTGTGTTTGATGCGGATGGACAGCCGGATTCAACAAGGCCGACACCGTGGCCAAAGCAGCGGCGGCTGCAACGGCCGATGAGTTTTGTTGCTCCTGCTGCTGCTGTTGTTGTTGGCTTTGCTCCTTTCCAGCGGATGCATTAGGTTCCTTGAACACTTCGTGGGCAGTCAACGGAGGCGATGGCAAGCTTGGCAACGAAATCGATGGCAACGAACGCGTGCTGTCCTTGTCTGGGTTCAAAAGACGAGCAATGTTAGAGACCGGCTTCATGGGCGGCGATGGCAAATGCATCCGCTTCTGGAACGCATCGGGTTCAACAGGATCAAGACGAGGCTCTGCACTGGGTGAAGAGGATGGCTGACGAGAAGCTCCTGTTGTCGTCGTCGTCGTCGTCGCTGCTGCTACTACTGGAGCAGCTGCAGCAATTGGAACAGGGGCAATCGATGCTGGCGGCGAAGGCTGATGTGGCAACAACGGACGCATGGGATACTTGGCGGCCAAAGTAGGCAATTCCATGCGCTTGGCAGGACGCTGGTGAGGATGATCATCGTCATGGGATGCCTTGCGCTTGCGACCGTCGTCACTTTCATCCGACGACGACGACGATGATGATGATGACGATGAACAAGACGGGTGATAGCCGTTCTGCTGAGCAGCCAAGCTGGACACAGTCACACGCTTACGACGCTTGATGATCGATCGCTTCATTGTCATGGGGCGATGGACGTTGTGCAACTTGTAATAAAGACCGCATGCGTTGCAGATGGTGTTGCCCTGTTCGTCACGACGCCAGAGAGGGGTGGTGGTGGTGCTGCAGTTGGCGCAAGAGAGCAAAGGACGTTGCTGACAACCCTGGTCAACGCACTCGTCGGTGCACTTGTCGCAAGGAGAAGAAGCAAGAGGAGGTGTGATTCTGTCAATCGACTGGTGCTGCTGCTGCTGCTGTTGCTGTTGTTGTTGTTGTTGTTGTTGTTGCGGGTGAATAGGAACTGGTGCAGCGGGTGAGGGCGAAATGTGCGACACAATGGGAGTCAAAGTGGGTGGAGCAGGGGCCAGAGCAACTGGTGCGGAAAGTATAGGACGCTTGGTGGAATTACGCTTCAACCACGGCGGGCGAGTAGTGTTGCGGGCTTTGAGATAAAGGCCGCATGCATTGCAGATGGTTTCACCCTGAGGGGAACGTCTCCACAGTGGAGTAGTGGTGGTGCCACAGTTCGAGCACGAAGTCACGGATGCTGTTCCAATATCCGATGTCGCAGCACTGGAGCTGCACGGTTCAGCAACGACATGAGTGTTGGAAGAAGAAGAGGTGTTGTTGTTGTTGCTGTTGGAACGATCTGTGACTTGCGTTTGCTCGATGCCAGAACGAAAAGTCTGGGCTTGATTTGTGAGAGTAGAAGCCGGTACTGCGTTTGAGTCCTTGGGAGTCGTGGTAAAATCTAAAGGGCATTTGTGGCACGAATCCACACTAGTCGCGGTCGAGGGCTTGTTGTAGAAGGGTGACTTGACCGTCATGGTGGATGGATTTTTTTTTTTTTAACTGTGTGTGAAAAACGGGTCGCTTATTCGTTCAACTTGACGTCTGTTTGGTTCTGGTCTATACATAAAACACGCAATGCCATGTTAACAACGAATGGTCCACAAAGCAGGGCGTGTGTGTCTCTTTCAAAACACCTCTTTTTATCTTGACCGAATAGCGTTCTTGGTCTGTGCCTATTTACCCCAGGAAAGGCGTATCGACTCTTGACAATACAGAAATCGAGAAGAAGAGGTTGAGAGGGCTTTCCTTGTGAAAGGGCAAAGGAAAAAAAAAGGAGGAAAAGAGAAACGAATAAAATTGGGCGTCGGAACAAAAAAAAAAACTTCCCTTTTATCTTTGCGTGGCCCTTTGCAATCTGATTGGCTTGATTGCCAGCTGATAACGGCCCTTTTAAACTCAACACCGATAAGATTGTATGCTTTCCATCCCGCGGAAAACTGCATTTGCACTTAACACCCACCACCCCCCCCCCTCTCTTTCTTCTCCTCTCTCTCTCTCTCTCTCTTTCTACCCACAGGCTCGCATCCCTCCCCCCTTTTTACTAATGCTCTGCTCTCTCCTCGAATCGATAGATATCCGTGACTCGTGATGAATCGCGCTAATCCTTTTTCAAGCAATAATCAAAAATCACCATCGCCACTCTTCTTCCAGGAACCCAACTCTTGTTTGTCCAAAAGTGGGGGGGGGGCCTCGAACAGGCAAAGGATCCAAGGCATCTTTTTTTTTATTTATTTATACACCATCGAGACTATCTCTACTGATGACAATGATTGGAAAGACATAGGACATCTTTATACAAGACATGGAGCAACTCCGCGCTGTGTGAAAGGATTGTGAGATCTGTGTGAGGGTACCAAACTCTCTTTTTGCATTTCAAGATCAATGATAAAGAAGATGAGCCGCTCCTCTCTTTCTCTCTCTCTCCGCAGAATTTACGTGGCCCAGATAGAAAAATCAGTATCACGCCCTGCCCCTCGTGCGCACACTCTCAACATGCTAGCCCTCATATCTACTACCGGAGTGTGCCGAAGAAGAAGAAGAGGCTGATAGCAACAGTCGATACGGCCCTCATCTACCCATGTGCGTGGCTGAAATAAAGGATCGTGACAATGTGATTGGGTGACTCTTTTGATAAAATGACGCATGCCCCTCTATTTTGGGGTCTTTCTAGTGAGAGAGGGGATCATAAACACTACTGTACAGAATTTGGTTGATAAATGGGATCTTCATCCACCCTTCCCAGTCATCCATCCATCCATCCCTCCATCATCAAGGGCCCCAAGTAGTCCGAGAGAAGAAGCATCTCTTTTTTTTTTTTTCTTTTCTTTATCATCTTTTTGCCCTGTATCATAGATGCTGTCACACCCAACTCGGGGAATCCGGTTCTGTATATATCCATTTGTAATAGGTGTGTGTGCACACAAACAACCATTACAAATTTGGGCCCGCTTGATATCAAAAAATATTATCTTATCAGTCCCGCTTTTGCGGATCTTGACCAGTCCCAAGTAGGGTTGTTGTTGGTCATTACTAAAAAGACACCAGGGGGCGTGGGTGGGTGGGCGCGGGTTCAAAAGGAAGGAGAGAGAGAAAGAGCTTCATCCACACATTGGTACGATGGTGGAAATGTCTCGGAATAATACCCGTATAAAGCTCTTTTATGGATCCGAGCGCAGCAGCCCCCTGTATATACTTTTATTACGGATGGAGCATTTCCCGCTTGTAGACCTACTGTATATAGACTTTTGCGGAGAGAGCTCTTGGTTTACATAAAATGTTTACAATGGACCTACTACCACTTTTGCTGCTTGTGTGACAATACAGTCATTTTCTACTCGTTTCATCATTCCCGCGAGTATAGCCACTTGGTATATATCATAACTGTAGAAAATGACGCGTGATCGGATCAGCACACTGCTGTAAGTTACTCGCATATACAAATGCTTGGCAGTGGACCAATTGCGTAAAAGAAGCTATTATTGTACTGCTATTTGAGGTATTTTTTTTTTCAACTGCATAAAACGATCACATATATATAATGGTTCTATTCGCTGCAAAAGGATTACACGTACAAGGACAGCAGCACAGGGATCAGTAGAATTAACGCATTTCAATAATACGCCACACGCACAAATATTGACCTTCACTTCCCAACAAGCTTTCTTTCATACCGTCACGGACAAACAAAAGAGACAAAAGGGACTAGTGAATAACACCCATTAAACCATTCGGCCTGTAGGATGTAACTGACGCTCAATGGGAGACAACTCCATGTTGCTGTCAATGTCATTAAAAAACGGACACGTACACTTGCCTCCATTTAGGGTAAAGACCGATTCTTGTTATCATTGTGGAAATGATAAAAGAAGACTATCAACTGTAACCTATCAAGAGAAAGATTTCCCAAAAAGAGTGCCTTTGTTTCCGAGTTTTGCATTGGCTTGTTGCTGCACTTTTGTTGCTGCTCTCCCCTAAGAAACCACTCCCCCCCACCCCTTTTCTTCGTTTGAAGCTCACTCACGTTCAATCACATCCTCCCTGATAAAATACGAAATTTATGCATCACTTCTAGGAGTTTCCGAGATTGGTAAATGATAGCGCGATCTTTTTTTTTTTTTATTCAACATTCAGTATCATATATAGGCAGAGTCAGTTTGCAGTGATGCATCCTATTTTTTGTGCAGTTGCTCTTTGTTGTTGTTGCTGCTGCTAAATCAGCAACTGGCATGTAAATAATAAATATCACCCACGAGATTTCTTTTTTTTTTTTTCAAGTACTTCAGCTACCACAGTTCTGAGCGCTGTTGTTATCTTCTTTTTTGCTGCGCCATGAATAAGCATGATGGCGTTATTGGTGGTGGCACGAGGGCGATAGAATGCTTTTGACATTCTTCCTCAACAAGTGTCTCTGTTGTGATGATGATATGGGGTGGATGGCGATGGCCTCATATATGTAAGCATCAACATATCGGATTTGCCGTGTAGGCAATAACGTTTAAGGAAGAAGTTTACCGTAGGTTGTGCTAATCAAAACAAGAAAACAGATTTTCTATATAAAACCCTGTTTTTGTGAGCTTATACATTCAAACGACAGATCTAAAATTGATAACCTTGGTTAAGACGCACTCGCTTGATAAGTACAGCGACGTAACTACACATAGAGCAATCTATTTTCTTCATAGCTATTACAAAAATTAGCCATACAGCATTAAACATACAACATTTACTTTAACTTAGGGCCATACAACAGGGATCAAATAACTATGCAGATATACATAATTACATGTATAAGTTTTAGGTTGTTTGCTACCATAATTTATGATAGCATCAAGCTATCTTCTTTTCTCTTTCACAGAATGTTAGTACGTTGGAGTATTCCCCCCCCCTGCCTTGGTCAAAACGAACACATCAACAGTAATAGGTCAAAGCATATTTTAGTTGTCAGCAGCTGCATGTGTTCGCTTCGCTTTACGGGGCATACAGTAATGGAAATGCCCTGTGCTATGTTATTTATTGCATTTTGTCTTTCGCGCTTTTTTGCTTTGAAGCGCGTGCCATACGTTGATATGGCTACTACCTTCAAACAAGGAAACATACGGAAATAGAGGATTGCAGTATGTCGGTGTAGCGTTGCTGATCTGGTGACATCAAAGTACCTCGTGGCGGTTATGGTCAGACAGTGACAACATGTAGTGTTCATAAGTGTGAATGCTATGGTGCGACGAGACGATCCTCACCGCTATACTTTCGACAAACCTTTAAAAAAAAGCACAGTTTAGGTTACGTTCTTGGCTTAAATAACAACTACTCTATTCGAGTTGGAATCAAAATACCAAGCGATCCACTTTTATCAGCTACGATTCTCGTTAAATGTATATCTCAAAAGAAACGATTACTTTTCTTCCGCACCTGGGGAAAATAGAGGACAAGTAAATTTCTATTGGTCAAAAGCACAGATAAAGTCACGATTCGACTCACGCAAAAAAATTAAAGGCTTTTTTCTTAACAGCCCCACTTTTCCGCCCTTTTTTTTTTATTACTTGGCCTGGATCAAGCATATTATACATGTCTAACCTCGAAGAAGATTTGAACACCCCTTTCGGTAAGTAATGAAAGAATCTGTTATAGAAAAAAGAAAGCAATTGTTGTGATGAGCAAGTGATTGACTCTTTTTTTTTTTTATTGGGTACTAGATCCCTTTGCTGAGGACGAACAGGAAAAGGCCCCCAAGTCTGCCAAACACATCCGTAAGTTTTGCGGCCTTATTTTTGGAATAAACGGGAATGGGGGAGAAATTTTGAAATTGGGGGAAAACCAGATCATGTTCCACGTTATACCACGCCTGTGTCTTCTAAACCGGAATTGTGGGGGTTGGTGGAAATTGTGTAGATTTGCGTATTCAGCAACGTAACGGCCGAAAGACACTTACCACTCTCCAAGGTCTTCCCAAGGAGTACAACAACAAGAAAATCTTGAAAGTGTTCAAAAAGGAATTTGCCTGCAACGGTACGATCGTGGACGATGACGAACTGGGTGAAGTGTTGCAGTTGTCTGGCGATCAGCGTCTAAAGATTGCCGAGTTCCTCATCAAGGAGGAGATTGCAAAGAAATCAGAGATCAAGGTGCACGGTTTTTAAAAAGGAATCACACTCAAAGAACGCTTTATACATACAACCGAACTGCACTCAAAAACAACAACGACGACGATTACGACGACGATTACGACACACACACATCTTTGCTACTGTTTTTGTTTCTTCAGTCTGTCTCTCCCTCTCTCTATTTCTCTCTCGAACTCACGCACATATACACTCTTCGTCTTTTTTTTTTTCTCGGCCTGTCATATTCCTTTTTCGATTTTCTCCCCCCTGCCACACAATCCAATTTTACCAATACAAACAAAAGAAACATCTTTCAAATCGCTTCTTGTATAAAAAAAAACGAAATTAGAAATATTGCGTTGTTTTTCTCCCTCATGAGTGTTTTGTAAATCTTTGCATAGGATGGATATCATGGATGGTTATATGACTCTGCACGACTACACCTGCCAGAATGCCGAGAAAGTGACTTGCTAGTTGGCGTTAAGGCATAAAAATGTTGTTATTGTTTCGACAAATGGCAAATGACATGGATAAACGTCAGCTGCATTACGATGTTGTGCGATTTTCTCAGTAGGTCCCGGTGCACAAGGGCGGGTAATAGCTCCTAGCATAGTAAAGTTTCAGCTGCTCCGTACTGATATGTGGCACGCTAAATGCTTCTCACATCCACATTCACACTCACATACTATACACACACAAATTCTCATCAACCTTATAACAGCAGTAACGAACAGTACTGTTATGCCGACCATGGTGCTGGTAAATATGAAAATCAAAGACGGCAGAAGATGCTATACAATGCATGATATATCATTTATATGTACCAGCATGTGGGATGAAAATTGCTTTCAGAACTATCCTCTTTAAATGAACAATGCCAGGGAAGAAACAGCTATGCTAAATAGATAAACCTTAGTTACGTTGCAGTGTAGCATATACAAAAAAAAAACATGACACTAATTCCTTTTCTTTATCCCACCCGCCCCCCTCCTTTCAATGATTGACCGGGCCGTTTTTCAACTTCTACGTAGAAATTCACGCTCGAAGAGTTAACGTTTCAATGTTTCAATTAAAAAGAAACATTAGAGTGTACATTTGAAATACTATTATTACCAAGCAATCTGACCAGCAACTCTTTGTTTTGGGCAAAACCTTCTTGTCTTTTAGGAACTTACATTTTCAAAACGAAAATGACAATTATTTTTGTCTCAATCAACCGCCGCCCCCCTTCAACCTGTTGATAAAGCGAGGAAACGTTAGAATACAAGAAAGAAAGGAAGATTTGGTGGTGCTGTACAAGAAGTTGATGATGAAGAAGCCCTTAAGCTCACGCATTGCTAAATGCTATGAGCTGAAGAAAAAAAGCTGCTATAATTGTCTAGAGTCATGTGCAAGAAAAGAAGAAGATGATGATGAGGACCTCGCGCTCAGTAAGTGAGCAAGAAAACGAATCGTCGTCGCCGTCGTCATAGCAAGATCGCCCAGGAATTGCAAAGGTAATTAGCTACCAACTAGGTTTACTTGTACGGCTCGCATCGCTCTCGTTGCTTGGACTAAAGCTGCCACTTTCCTTCAACAAGTGTGCCTACTAGACTACGGTGTTGTACGTAATAGCTTTTAGAATTACACATATTGTATATATCATCATGATGTATATCGATAAAAAACAGAAAAGTCTGGTAGAGTTAAAGTTGGTCATCACCATGTCCATCGTCATGTCCTATCTCAAAGTTATTGGATTATATATACAAAAGATCTGATCTGAGAGCTCGTTTATCATAACCTTATCACAACGATCCTTAAAGAAAAGCATCTTGATGGGCAATTCTGATTTTTTTACAAGCTAGTTCATGCTTTCACTTGTCATGTACAATATCGTATATACTGGCTGCTTATTTCTTTTTTTCTTGGTCCATATTCATGCTGATGCCGTCGTTTACGAAATGCTTCACTCATTCCAATACGTATTTCCACAAAAAAGGACGACATTAACAATAAAAACATGTAGCTGTAATTATGTACGCTTATCCCTGCAAAAGACGTGAATTTTCGCTAAAAAAAAAAGCCTCCTGCGCTACTTATGCCTTTCCCCCATTTTTTTTCCTTCATCAAAGTACCTTCCAAGCCCTCCTCGGGTTGGGCAGCAGGATTCGAATTTTAAAATAAACAACTTTACAGATAACAACAGAGTATTACTACATCCTATCTAGGAGTATTATACACTTGGTAGCTATAATATCCATCGCATTTAACTACTGAATTTTTAATACATAGCAAGATTATCATTTCACTACAAGACCTCTATCATTTACATTGATATACTACACGTCAATAAGAGCTTTACATTTTCCCAGACTTACTTTTCGTGCAACAGTTGCGTATATATGAAAAAGACTTTACAAGAATTTGCATAGACCATAGCAGTAAGTTTTAAAGTTGTTCTCACTGACATTCTTTTCCAAATGGAATGTTTGTTTGGTTAAGCTGCAGCATTTTGAAAAAACTATACAATCAAACACAGCTTTATATGACCAGTACTGTAAAGAGGGGGGGGGAATAAACAGATATTCTTCATGTTCAGGTTTGAGCGAAAGATTCAAAATGAAAAAAAAAGTGAGAGTGTGTGTTCCAATGATAAGAACAAAGACAATGATCCATCATATACATGCTGCTGCCCTTGACGAATTCTGACTTTCGCTCAAGGCTTCTTACGCAAATGGAAATCGCTGATTCCGAGATTTCTATTTTATTCTGTATGGATGGCACATAGAAATCTTACTAACAATGCTGATAACTACAGGATATGTCTGATATTGTATTGTACTCTATATATAGACCTTTTATCCAGTTAGTCAAAAGGAGATCAATTAGCGACAGTATGGCAATTTCTAGTCGACTCTGTCCATTAGAGCCAAAAAAAAAAGCGGATGAAATTAAAAAGCATGAGTAGATCTTTTCTAGGGGGGACACAGAAGTTAAGCATCGTAATATAAAGCATTCGTATAAGCAGTATACTGCTAAAGTCATTGTGAGTATCCTACTACATGCATTGTGCAGTCGTTAACGGAAGTGCGAGTTTAACTTTTACTACCCTGATGCAGTAGCAGCAGCAGTAGCAGCAGCAGCAGCAGCAGTAATGGTGATGAAATGAAAATATATATCGTCGTGCATCCCGTGCACGTCCTTTTTGGCCCGTGATTGAATTTGAATTTGCACGAAGATGCGCCCCTATCAAACTAGCAGCCCGCATATGCTCTCTGCCTCTGTGCGCGAGTTTTTCCTCTAGTGACATACATACTCACTCCTCGCATGATGTGTGGGTACATAAAGTTCCAATTTGGTAATGATAGCGGTTCCCATTATCCATTACGTTTCAAACCAAACTTTTATCGCTTTTCCCCAGCCTATATCATTTCTACAACTTGCTTGCATCGCTTTATCCCAATGTAATTACATACACATACGCATACATGTACATAAAATCATGAAACAGCAGTGTAGTGTATTGTCTCGTCATCACAGGCCTATCTGGAATTTGAGAAATGATGAATGAATGTATTAATAAGAGAAGAGACATGGACGCTCTTTTTTGCATAAAGAAGACTTATCCTGGTAAATTACGAAACGACGATATCAGTGCTTCGCTAACATTATTACCAGGAGAGATAACACAGGAACTGGGATTTGTTTTGGTTTGGTTGGATGTGTGGGGGGAGAGGAAGCAAAAGAAGATGAGTATATCATACTAACAAGAGAAAAAGAGTCTTGATTCCCAATGTGATATTAAATGATTGATGTGGTAGTAGCAGTTTGTTCTTTTTCTCTGTTTTACTCTCGCTCTCTGCAGCCAGTAATTCTCTTTGTGAGAGTTCTACATGGCAACCAAAAAAAAAATGATGCACACCACGTAATTCATTATGCACGATGAAGTTTTTTTTTGTGTACCATGATCTTTGAATTCTGTCTTTGTGATCAGATATAAATACCTTTAGAAAAGTAATCCTGTCATATTGCTCTGTCACCATAACCTTTTCCTTTCTTTCATTCTCAATTTCTCAACCCATTCTTTTCACTCTCCCTGGTTTGTATGACAGCACAACAATGATCAGCACCAACCATCACCATCACCACAGCAGCAAACAGACACCAGCAACAATAGGATCCCACTCTTCCAAGGTGGATGCTGCCAAGCGACCAAGAACATCAACTGCTTGCGTTCGCTGCCATTTGAAAAAAGTAAGAAGTATCAATAGGTAGTACATCCGTAATGACTTTAATAGCATGAACAGGGTACACTAAAATCATCCATGTTATATATTCATCAAGGTCCGTTGTGACGGCCGCCGTCCAAATTGTGATCGTTGCGCAGCCAACGATAAAATGTGTGCCTATCCAACTCGACGGCGATCACGTAATACTCAGCCAGCCGATGTTGACCCGTTCATCGACGATTTATCGCAGCTGGAAGAACGAATCCGAGGAATCGAAACTGAACAGGAAGCACTCTGGCATGTGTTTCAACAACTACAACATCAACAACAACAGACTGCAACAACAACAGCAGCAGTCGATATGGAAAGTAATAGTAGTAGTCATGCTGACCTGATGAGTCGATTGACTACCATTGACCAACAAGTCCAGACCTCGCGGGCGAGCCTGGCTCGTCAACGACTCTTGCGTGAACAGCATATTGCACGTAAAAAACAACTTGGAGAAAAACATCAACGATCAGCATCATCATCCACCTCGTCTTCTTTGAAAAGCAGTATCAATAACAAGGATGACAAGCAGCAAGAACAGCAGCACCCAACAATACCGACTACTGATAGTAATACCGCCACTGTTACAACAACACCAGTAGTAGCTACTCAACAACAGTACCCATATCATCATCATCATCATCATCATCATCCCTATCATCAACAGCAGCAACCTCCATGGATTGTCAATAACGATTTTACATACTGGTTCCCAATGAACGAAGAGAATGAATACTTTTCAGCAGCTGTTGCAGCTGCCGCTGCTGCGCAACCGCAGCCAAAGAACGAATTGCTGTCACCCAGCGAGCTCAATTTAATGACAACACCACCACCACCACAACAACAACAACAACCACTTTTGTATCCATCGTCGTCCACATCTACTGTCCGCTCGTCATCTTCGGTGTCACCTTCGTCCTCCAATACGGCTTTGCCGTCCATGCATCAAGACTTTGCTCCTTCTCCTACTCATCCCCATGGCAACAACAGCACTCATAGTATGGGTGGAAACGGTATTCACAATGACATGGTGGTCGATCCATCATCGTACGGTCTCATGCATTTTGTTATGGACGAGGACCCTCTGATGCTCAACTATCCTCAGGAAGGCGATCCTTGGCTTGGCCATCCTGCTCGCTTGTAAAAAAAAAAAAAATCAAAAAAATTAATCAATCTGAATAGGAAAAGGCTGGGACCTTTTTCCAACCTATGTATCTTTTTCTACCTTTTTTTTTTTTTTCTACATAACAATCGTCTATTGTAAGACATCAATTGCATCATATATCATTGTACCTTTATAATTTCCCTTGCTAATTTTCATACTATCTTTTATTTATCAACTATATTGTTACTAATACTTCTTAACCCACATGTCATCATCAATTCTCCTCCATTATATGAAACAAGTGAAAAGAATATAATCTTTTATGTAAACTCTTTGGATCTATAGTACTCGTTGCAATGATGTCGTTCGCTATCAGTGTATGCGTGTATATATATCAAGAGGAAAAAAAAATGTATAGAGTGCCAAGGAAAGAAGTGATGTAAATGTGATTGGTTTCCTTGTGCAAGTGTACATATACGTATGTGCGTGCGTGTGTGTGTGTATGTATATAATTGACGAGAATTGAAAGTGTGTGTATGATATTGTAGACAATGGGAAGGGAGGGTATATATACTATGGAATGTTGATATGAATAACTCTAATTCTTATTGTCGAGGATGTTGTTCCTTGTTGATAATCGAAGATGAAGAACCAGCAGTAGGATTGGGAGCAGCATCATTCGTCGTACTACCGCCAGCGCTACTATGTGTTGTCGACTTGGTGCTATCATTCGAAGAGGCAATGACTTCCTCCAAATTTTCCAACCGACACACAATATGCCACAAAAGATCCTTATTTGTCCAGTAGGAGAAATGTGCTCGGAGACCTACCAGGTATTCATTGGCAATCATGCTCATGAAGCTCTCTGGTTGCAGCACATGATCAATGCGTCTACCACCTGGCAATTTGGTCTGCTGCTTGGCGTCTTCTGCTTTTTGATCCTGCTTGCTCTTCTTGGTACGATCGTCGGCATTAGCGTCGGTATTACCATTGCTGCTGTCACTGTCTTTGGGCTGCGTGGCATCCTTGGTCACCTCTTCCTTGGACTGTCCTGGTTCTGTCACTGCAGGACCTGGCTCGTTTAGCTCTTGATGCAAATCCAACCACAGGTCACCTTTACTGTTACTGCTGTTTTTGTCTTGTTCTTCCGTTACAGTACGACCAGCACCATAAGCTTCCGTATCTGTTGTAATTACAGCATTAGCATCGGCAGATGACGCAGACTTTGCATCTTGCTGTGGCTCTTGCATCGCTGCTTGTGGCTGTTGCTTTTCATCCTGCTGCTCTTGTCGATCCTGTTCCTGCTGTTGTTTTTGTTGTTGTTCGACATTCTCCTTCTGATATCGTTCTTGTTGCTGTTTCTGGCTTCGGTTGTCAGGTGAGAAATTCATCTGCGCGCGCTCCAAAGAATCCATTCGCACACCATCAATGCCTAGCACTTCCACCAAATGCTGCTGATGCTTGTGGCTCTTGTTTGCAGCATTAATGATATCATTTTTGTTTGAAAAAATTGTGTTCTTCATCGTATGAAACTCTTGCGGCGATCCCCCGAAAGTTTGAGATCTTGACCGTATAACAGGCCTTTTCATAAATCCCTCTTGTAACGACTGGCGTTGCTGTTTCTGCTGCTGCTGCTGCTGCTGCTGCTGAAATGAATCGTCGTCGTTCCTCAACTCAGAGTCATTGCTTTTTAAAGCAAGCATCTGATCCTTGACATCGTCTTGCAGTGGATCCCAAGTAATGATTCCAGGCACACTATCCAGCGTCGTCGTCGTTGTTGTTGCTGTGGCGGTGTTATCATTTTTCTGCATTTGCCGTTCTTTGCGTCGTTCGTCGGCGTTACCTTGATTACTTTTTCGCTTTTGCTTTTTCCGTTGAGTTGAAGACGATGGTGATGAAAAATATTGCAAAAATGCATTGAATGACGATACAAACTTTTTACTCTCTTGTTGCTGTGCATCGTCATCTTTTTGCTGTGGCTGCTCGCCTCTAGCTTTGGCTACGATAGATTCTGGCGATCGAGTGTCATCCCGGTGATGGTGTTTACCAGCTTTAGCTGCCATGTTAGTGGCCTGCAGGGTCGTCTGTTGTGCCGTCTTTGGTTCCTCATTGTTAGATGGCTGTTGTTGGCGGCGCTGTTGTTGCTGTTGCTGCTGCTGCTGCTGTGATGCTGACGCTTTCCACGAAAAGAAAGATAACAGGCCCGCACCCGGAAGGGATGGTAGCGATGGAAAGGAAAACGATGGGCCCAATGGGACGGAGCGTTCTACAAGCACAGCCGGCTGCTCCGTGTAGTACTCATTGATAAGCGGCTCAAAACGGTAGGCCTATTGTCCAAAGATAGCAAAAAGGAAAAAAGGAGGTTGCGATGAGAAGGAAAGAAAGCGCTTTCACATATCATCTCCCATCTTGACACACACAAGATAACAGATGAATTGGCCAATACGTACCAATGGATCGAATGGATGAAACACATTCTCAAAGACAATATCATGATCAGGGTGATAGAGCAAAGGGGTTTGGTTTCGTATCGTCAACATGGCAGCCAGCGGTGAGCCAAAGCCAAAAAAGTAATCTGGCTTGAAATCCAATTTCGAATACTCGACATTGACTTTACGATATTCTGCTTCTTCTTCCGACGTTTCGGGCTGTCGTTGATGCGAGAGGATATCCCATGTAATGATGCCGCCGAGTCTGAGACGTCATCATCCAGATGCATATTCCCAAAAAGTGTAAAAAAAAAAGGTCAGTATATTTGGATACGGGCCAAGAGTGGCGAAGTGGTGGTAGCATGGTGTTTTGGTAAGCAAGCACTCAGCAAATTACACGTAGCGCTACTTACGAATAGCCAATAATGACAATTTTGCCTGCAAAATCCGGATGCTTCTCCAGAAAGTTGTGATAAGACGTGTTGAACAAATTGGTGACGTTGTCAACAATACTTTGTCCGCGTTCTTTGGAAAAGTAAAATAAAATATCGGCCAAGTAGTCGTTTTCAATCAATCGGATCGTAGGAATGGATTTCAATGTAATGCGTCCCATCGTTGGGTCGGTTTGTTCGTGAATATGGCGGTGCCATTCGATGGGTATAAGTTCGATACGGACGGCATGGTCGGGTACTTTGGCTTGTAACACCTGACGCGTAGTTTCCCTTAGATTATCAACTACACGCATGATTACATGTGTTGGTGAGTACCTTTGTTTTGAAAAAACAACAACAGATGGACATGGATGGTGGTGGTGACAACGACTACGACTACGACGAGGACGAGGACGAGGACGAGGACGGCAGAAGGAAAAAATATAAACTTACTGTGTTCGTAGAAATGTCCGTACTGTTCTGTTTGCTGTAATTATCACATGCAAAACAGAGCAGGAAAAGATTAAAACAGAGCACACACAGCAAACATACACCGCACACGCCAATCACCAAACCATCACCCCTTATTGTAATCATCTTACTTGGCCAATACCCTACAGAATACCCAAGTAATATCATATTGAGTTAATGCACGTAGTTCTATGCCCGATAATAAGCCAAGGATTGAAAAGGCGCATCCCCTCTCATGTATCTAGTAGATACTTGCATGAATAACGAATATGAGATGATCGACTGGACTCTCGGACGATGCTTCGTCACAAGAGGAGTCACCTTGGGCACCAGTAGGTCCAAGGGACGGGGAAAATGGTGGTGGCGTTAATTCATCTTTGAAGCCGATCGAAATCGAGGATAGTAAAGTTATACAGAATTGTCGTGAGTGAATTTAAAAAATGATAAGTAATGTCGATCTAGATTGAAATGGACATTTTGGCAACCGAAAAGAAAATGCATTGCTACCTTCTTCAATGGTACTTGTTGCCGAAAGCTGCGGGGAAGGAACATAGGTCGTTTCGAAGAACATGTAGTATATGCTGTGCTGTGCTGTGCTGTGCTGTGCTGTGCTGTATATGATATGTCTACTGGTATATGGTCTAAGAAAAGAGTAAAAAAAAAAGAACGCAAAAGGGAAAAAACAAAAGAAAGAAGCAAAGAAAGGAAAAAGAAAGGGCTGTCAAGCTGTAGTAGTTTGATGCGATTATACAATTCAGATATTTTTAAAAGCAAGCAGCTATTTCACACATTCAAGCGTCATTGCTTCCCCTCCTCCCCCCCGACCCCATAGAACAACTCTACAACATATGTAATCCAAAAAATCTTAGCAATAACGTGTCTGTTTTCATTTTCATTTTTTCAGCTGTCAAATGATACCAGTACGTGTTTCCAGCAACAAGTTGACTTACTTATTGGCGTAGCGGTACCAGCACCAGCACCAGCAGCAGCAGCAGCAGCAGCAAGAAAAACAAGTGTTTCATTAATCTGCAGTATGCAAACAAACTGAAAGCAGCACAAGATGTTTTGAGATGAGAATTTATCCAATAAAGAAAGATATCGTTTTCATTGTCATGTGTAATAATGCTGCTCTATGACGGATGGATGGATCGTTCCGTAGCATTTGTTTCTGAAAACGATAATATGTTAACTGCCATGTGTAGTAGAATGCATAAGAGGAGTGTGATGCCAAGATAATGTCATCACACACAGATGCAAAAAAGAGATGTTCCCTGTTCCCTCATTCGCCAAGATCCACCTTTCTCTATGGTGATACAGAGCCAACTCAACACTATCAAACTGCCAAGTGCCCCCCCCCAGCCAAGGGCAGTGAACCACGTAGGACGTAGTGATACCATGCACAGCAACAACGGTGACGTATATGTTCATATGCGTATATATATATCTTTGCTGTGCGAGAAATTGAAAATTTTTGTAACAGCTCCCTTAAAAGCTTCAAATCGTTGTTCAAGTTCGTGAGGATACACTACTAGTGCACTGTGGTTTCATCGCGTTGTAGTTATGATGGTGTATGTTGTGGGCTTGTGTGAAATAGGCAAGTCCACCGAAAAGAAGTGTACAACTACAGAAACGTCTAGTTGTTATATCTGCTGGTAAATGATAAACAATCGCATATTTTGTTCCTTCTTTCGACATTATAAATGAAATTAGCAGCAGCAACCGTGGAGATCATACTCACACAATCAAGTGGCTGCATAAAAAGACGCCCATGGCGAAAAGGCACAGCTGTGGCTTAAAAAAGCCTAGAGTCTGTGTATGTGCGTCCTTATTTGTACGTTGAACAACGACACGACAATATATCAGCGTCATTGTAGGTGATGTTTTATACTTGGCATTTCATTTTGGGCACACGCCATTTTTATTTTGGCATATTATGAATTTTGATTTGGCACTTTATGATTTTTCAATTGGATTGCGGAAGGGACTGTACGGAGGTAGATACAATATCTTGAATCCACAGTCTTCCACTGTACTTTTTACGTTTTTCGCATGATGAAGGCTTGCATTATCCATTACCAACGCCTTTCCGAGCATACTGATTTTTTTTTCCAAAACGTCCATTACAGTTTCTAAAAACTGGGCAGAATGATCGGTTCGTGTACCAACTCTGGCTTCTATCCTTCCTTCACCATCTTGTAATCTCCGTTTCTTAGATCCAACTACAGCTTGTGACTTACGCAAACAAGATTTACCACTCCTTCAGCAGCAATAGCCCCCAAAATTGAGATGTTTATGCCACGGTTATTAGGTACCATCACTTAAGCTGGTTGTCCCTTTCTTGAGCGTCTAAACGTACGTCTAACATGTAAGTTGAACCTTGCTTCATCTATAAACACGCAGCTTGTCAATCTCTTGTTTGTTAATATCAAGGATCCAGTTCATTCATTTCTTGATAGTTTCAGGCAATGTACGGGTTTTTAATATTTTCATACGTTCCTTCATAGTTAAACCACATCTTTTTTTTACCAGATGCCTTTGTAAGCCACTCTGTGTGATTGCTACGCCATAATCCTTCCAAAGCATTGTTGCAGTTAGATCATCATCATATTATAATGTTCATTATTGTTGTAGCTACAAAATCTTTTCTTTTGAAGCATCCTCATTTGTTGCTCCGGAGTAATAGTTCCGTACACGAGATATACTGAATAGCCAAATTTACGATACATGCCTATGGCCACTGCATTGGATACACGCACATATAGATCCACGAACCGTCCATTGTATCTAGGTTAATATAGTCATGTTAGAGTCTTCCTTGAACAGTGCATAATATACGCTAGAACATCATATCTTTTGCTTACGTTTTCTCAGATACTTCTTCAAGCAGGTTCATCATGCCATCGGCTAAACCCAACAATCGACGATATTCAGGAGCAACTGTTATGGCCGTAACGTGTCAGGTGCCAGTTCTTGCCAGTACCTTCAGCCTTGCCCATCACTATAGATAAAAACGTTTAGCATTCAGTGTACTTTTTTCGTCGAGTAACAAGTAAAGTGTTGGTTAAAAAAGAATGTATGCTGTTTGTAGTCCTTCACTTACCATAACCCATAAGGCGGTCCTGTGGAGATATTTGTACACAAAATAGATCGGCCATTGTGCGAGGTATTGCAGATAGAACGAAATGTTATACTGTATTGAAAGAATGACGGTTAGTCGCTCAGATAACCTAAAGAGCGCGTGCCTTTTTTCGCGGGAAACTCACATCGAGATTGCTGCAAAATGAAACAGAAAAGCCAGACAGAATTGTGGTAAGTACGTGCAAAATACATTTCAAAAAGGACTTGCACATTATTATATTCAAAAAGATCAATTGCTTCAAATCGTCGTAGCAAGCTCCTGATTCTCGGAGGTGTGGCAAGTGCAGGAGGAAGGCTGGGTAACCCAATGGATGTTCAACGTCAAGCAGCAAGCCTGTGGCACTGCATGATTTTGCCCACATCACACACAAGAGATTAACGACATATAAATATAACGCAACCATCGATATATTGTAACGTCTTAGTTTGTGTAAGAGTTACGAATCCCGTTAAATAGGTTTTTTTTTATATAGGAAAAGTAATAAATTTGGATGAAATGCTAAGTATTAAGCAAAAGTGATGAAATAGAAGTGTGGGAGTTCAACAACCAGGGATTATACGTCTGGCACCACAAAAGATGTTCCTTTTAGTAGGATAAGAGAAAAGATAAAACTAAGTGTAAAAGAAGCTAAAGAACTGAACTGAACTGTTTATTATTCGGTACAAAATATTGGTCTATTTATACTAATTCTATTACAATATCTTTGACTAATCTAATTAGTCCTTTATCCAATGGATACCGCAACAGTGCGAAATGGTTTTGCACTTGGTGAGTTGGTTTTGCACCTAGTGTGAGTTGTTTTTGTACTCGCAGTAAAAGTAGTATTACGCAGTAAACGTATTGCTGCGGGTGTGAGAAAAATTTGCACTCGAGGTTGCACCAAGACTGTGATTGAGCGTAAAGGACGACAAGGTGGGTTACAATATGCCAAAACATGTAATATACCAGATGGGCTTACTTATGTAATCAACGCACGCTATACTGGACTTTATATGCGTACACGAGGTATCAAGCAAAAATGAGAAACTTCTTTTCCTTCCTTTTCATAACCACTTACCACAATATGGTTCTGTGTGCGATCTGTAACGATCAAGAAAGCAAATACAAATGTCCAACGTGCAAAGCACCATAGTACGTTTAGCCAATTATCTCCATTTGATTCTTATTTGTGAAATAACAAATGAATACATTCTGAACAATTGTGCAAAACCAGTTGCTCGATCGCATGCTTCAAAAACCACATGTGTAAGCTGCTCTTTCTCGTGTTACCTTACTACTATGTGCAAACCTGCTTATCTCCGAGCCTTTTAACATACATTAGTAGAGCCATGGCAGCCAGCACCAGCAACAACACCTACATTATCATCTTCTTCAGCAGGCTCGCGATTTCTAAATTCTAGTTTGTGTCTCTTTGGCAGGAATTTAAAGGACTTGATTTGCATTATCTTTGATAGGTGTTGAAAGAAAGCAGTTGGCAGTAGAAAATGCCGATGAAGACGACCCGAGTCGTTTAACAGAAAACCAGCTTACATCATTAGGTATGTAAAACGCAATATATGAAAAAGAAAGGAGATGTATACAAAAAGGAAAGAAAAAACTATGGCTGTAACCCATACAATATGTATAATAATGGAATAGCACATTCGTCCGACATAGCCATATATCTTCAAGACCCCCAGATACGTGACTGGGTTGCACGGATCGACCGGTCGACTGAGGCCGAGAAAGACTTAGAAGATGCACGGGCAGCTGATCCAAAGCTTGATGCATTCATCCAATTGCTTCTCAAAACGGTCATGAGCGTAACACTAATTGTTTCTTGACAAATTATGATAAAAACAACATTTTTCGGCTCAGGTGGTGTAAAGGAAAATGGATAAGAATAGTTTTTTTGGAGCATACATTGAGGAAAGAAAAAGGGTTGGCCATAAGAAAAGGAAGGGGAACATAGCAGCGCTCAGAAATAAGAGGTTTTAGAAGAGAAAAAAGAAGAATTGAAAGGGGAGAGATGGACATATGGTTAGCCAAAGGAAAAAAAGAATAACATATGAATAACAGAGATTGAAGTCAAAGAAGACCAAGAGTAAGAAACGAGAGCAAAAACAAAGAGTGTAGCCGAAAGAGGATCTAGTTGTAGTCATCGTCATTGTTGTCTTTTTTGATCGCGTAAGAGATCCTGCTGTGGCGATGACATGCTGTTTGCTGGCGGATATGCTGCAGGCGTGTACTGGTGGGCTGTTGGAATTGGTCGCTCGCTCACCAGCTTTGCCAACCGTCCTTCACTCTTCTCTACGACTAAGGCCTTAAGCCACTTGATTTCACGCTCCAGATCCTGAATATTCATATTAGCCTCCATCCGCTTGCTCTTTTCGGTCATCTCAAAAGCAGTTCGCTGGAGTGCCTGTTCACGCAACCCTGAGACGAACGCTTGCAGCGGTGTTGCGCTTGCGCTTATCGTCCTTGGTAAGCTTTGATTGGTTCTGTTGCTGCTCTTGAGCATGCTTGGGCTTGCCGTGGCGGTAATCTTCCTCTGGACTGCTCGTTGTTTCAGAAGATAATGTCGTTGCCGTTGGTGGCGATAACGCGTTGTTGCTGTGGTGATGACTGATGGCACTGCTGGTCGTATCATAGCAATATCATACAGATTGCCATCATTTCCATGGCTGTTATAACTACCATGGCAATCGTTACCCCAGCAATAGCTATCGTCGAAGACTGAAGCTGGCGGCACATCCTGCGAGGACTGCGTGTCGGCAAAGAAATCAAGGTCTTGCTGCATCTCTGTTTAGGTCAAGAAAGAGATAGGATCCAATAGCAGGTTCAACGATTCGACGCCTTGCTGTTGTTGCTCTGCTAGCGGCGGTATTAGCGGAAAAGATTGGGATTGCATCGCTTATTGAGGCGACTGATTCATACAATTATTCTATGTGTCTTCTTTTTTTAAAAACGGATTTCTTTGTTGAATGCAACGAGAGTGTGAGAGTGAGAAAGAGTTAAGAAAGATTGAGGAAGCAGAAAGAAAGAGGGGAAGAAACCGAAGAAAAAGAAACCACTACATAGACAATGGTAAGTTACCTTGAATTATATAGTACAGCAAATATAATAAAATACACACAATAACAACTGGAGCGAGAAAAATGGAAACCCAGAGTAAGTCGTAAACTTCAAATGAGAAACAAACAAGAAAGGCGAGTGGTAACAATATAAATATATGTGCTCATGGAAGCCAGTCCATGGGACGACAGCGGAGCGACACAAGAAGAACGCCAGTGTATACTTCCAAGAACGTCATCTGATAACTGTCTTGTTCGACCACGAAAACAAAGGCGGCGATCTCTAGGCTCACTGTCATATTAGCAAGCGCACTGTACTTTAAAAAAATTTTGAGAGCAAGACTAGCGAATAGCCATCCGTTCCTAGCTTTGCGTCGAATATGCACTTTTAAAATAATAACAGCTTTATTTTATTCAAAAAAGTTATTTATATAGCCAAAAGAAGTACTACAAGTTGTTACAAGAAGCATTATACAACGACTTTGCATGCTTGTATCATGCAACACAGTCATCCTCAGCTACTCGTTTAACACGTTCAGTTATTCTCCGGATCAATTGATCTTTCTCACTTGACTTGTATCTTTGAACACCTATCATGATAATAACATTAAGCTTGATAGCAATATTGCTGCCCAAATGCCATACTTATTCAGCTTCACCTTCGACCAGGACTGTTCTATTGAATTGAGAAAGGGAGAATAGGGGAGTCAGGTAAGTGCATTTGCAGGTCGCCCGCAACACTTTTGATAGGATGTGTGAAGCCCGTCAAATAAACGATTTCTGCAGTATCGTTGTAGGCCGGATCGTGTGTCGGAAAACGCAATAAAAGCTCACAAAAGACCAAAGCTAAAAGGGTGATATATTCAAGGAAAGGGGTGTAGGTTGATATAGCTCTTTCAGAACCGGGGAGATCTGATGACAAACGGGTTCTTCAGTCCAAATAAACCCACTAATCACCACAAGAAAACTCGAAAGAACTCTGTTGTTTATTGCGTGACGGGAAAGTGTTACATATTGGCGGCACCGTCTACGTCACTCACATCAGGACTGGATTCGTCATTCGCTACAAAAGTTTCTTTTTTCTTTTTTCTTTACTACACCTCCCTCCTTTCTTTTTATCTTTATATTTTATTTTCTAATGGCATCAGGTGGCCCGCGCCTACGTGCTGCGATGGATTGTGCATCAGATGGCCTCGCGCCTGCGTACGCGCGAGATAACCCAGCTCTTGGGTGCCTCGATTCACTGTTCTTTACAATGAATTGATGTGCATCAGATGGCCTCGCCCCTACGTACCCGTGAGATAACCCAGATCTTGGGTGCCTCGATCCATTGTCTTTTAAATCTCCTCATTTTCTCCCTTTTAACACACACACACACACACAGAAAACACACTCAAAAGTATTGAATGGTAGTGGAAGACTTGTATCTTACACACGCTTTTTTATTTATTTATTAGATTATGCTTTTCTTGACGTCAAGATCATGGGTTGGAGAAACGAACTGAATAAAGAACACGGTACAATAATGGTATACTGGATAGGTTTTTTTACCAGGTAAAAAAATAAAAAACAGTGGTGAAAGAGAGGGATCGAGGACGATTTTACTGTACGGTTAGAAATGGAAAATGACTAGATGGATAGATATTTATTAACGACGACTCGGCCATCATGACGTGGGCCTTTTTGCAGACCGGAATACACGCCTCCTTCCCTGATATGCGGCACGACATCTGGACCCCGGCGCCATAGCAACGGATGCAATGTCTCTTACATGAGCCTCCTTGTGCAAGATCGCTCGCGAAGCCGTACGAGCGACGATAGCAATACCTTACTGGTAGGTAGCGATATGGTTTCCACTCCTGCTTCGCCTCGCATCCGGGCCTCCACTGATTTTAAATCCTCAACATCACGTCCAGTTGACATCCTTCGCAACCTCCTCGTAGACCAATCCGAGCTGATGAATGGGCGTTTGGCAGCTATCAGGAATCGTTTTGCAGGACGAGGCCTTTCTGAGGCAGCATTGACCTTACTCTGTGAACCCCTGCTTCGTAAATCATCTACAAATCGCACCTATTTTGGAGGCCAGCGTCGTTTCGTCTGGTGGGCCTTGCATGCTGGCGTCAATGTCAACAACTATACCGTCGAGGAGCTTATCAACTTTCTTTCAGCAGCGCATCAGCAAGGCGACAGTTGGAGCACCATCAAGCTTTTACACACTGGTGTTTTGATCTTCCATGTCAATGCCGCGCCAATCCGCCGACATCCAGATTTATAACAACTACTAGCTCGTTTCACCAAGGACGCACCTCCTCGCTCGAATTCCAAACCCAATCTTGATCTCACCGCTACTTTGCAACATCTTGCGCGTCTTCAGTCCTCTGCGTCAACCCTTTGGCCAGACTCAATGAAATGGCAGCTTTTCTTTTAACGACTGCTGCTTTTCTGCGTCCTTCGCATTTACATCGTCTTCAGTTGACCAAATGCCGTGACGTTATCAACACCGTTTACATCTTTGTTCTCTTGCCCCGAAGGAGACTCGCAGCGGTCGACCCATTGTTAAGCATCTCATTGTCTACCAATTACCTGGCGATTCTGCACTGTGTCCAGTGGCAGCAGTCGAAGCCTTACGGGATCATCCTGATGCAGCATCCGGACCCTGTGATTCGTTGTTCGTTAATAGCATTCGAGTGTCTAGTGCAGTCAAGGTCTCTACTATTTCGGGTTGGAATAACGGCTCCTGGCTCGTTCATCAACATCAGCATCAGCTTCTGATTCGGCGAACGGTCTACCTTCTTTACGTCCGGTGGCATGTACCTTGACACTGAGCAACGAATCCTCCTTCGATGATGTCCTAGCTATGGGTAATTGGTCTTCACGAAGAGTTTTCGATAATCATTACCGTTGTACTATTCAATTTCCCGAATTGGTTCTGTTTCATTTTGCTACAATAAAGCTGAGAGAGATGGTCACAGCACTTGATGATTTCTGGTTCGGCTAGTCCTTAGGACTAGGGATCCGCACGGTTCGGTTCGGTTCGGTTCTTGAAGGGAACCGAACCGAACCGTCCAAAGTAAGAACCGAACCGACTAGAACCGATGAGAACCGTAGAACCGAAGAATCGAACCGAAGAATCGAACCGAAGAACCGAACCCGTCATGTATATAAAAAAGGCAAAATCCAGTATCTTTGAATGAAAATGTATGTGTGTTCAAATATCGTGGTATACTTGAATATCGCAGTAAAAAAGAATAGTTTATTATTGTACGTTGAACAGCGATTTCAAAATGAATAAGAGAAACAGAATGTAAACATTTAATATACAATGTGGGTCATTGCATGGTTAAAAGATTAAAGCACAGTTTTCACAAAAAAAAGTGGAGCTTATAGTACTAGAGCGACGTAGTATTACTAGTACAATACGTTATTGTAACATTGGAGGAACCAAACCACAACCGGCAGTACACACAGCTACTGTGTCTCTACGCGTGTATAGTGTCTCATAAAAGGCAAAGTGTCAATGGGTAAGATAATTCTGTTATGGGCCCCAGGATGCGCAATCTCAGACAGAATGCACAAACTTGATAAAACTGATCGAGAAGCCAAGATAAATCTAGTAAAGTAGTACGTCATGGAGAAAATGCATTGTGGGTAGCAAAGTAGAGGAACAAGTAATGATGCGCGTTATGGGCAGAGAAAGCAAGCTGCTGTCAAACGAAGTGTTTCTTTTTTGTTCTTCTCTTCTTTACTATTTTTCCCTCCCTTCTGCTTTTGCAAGTTTGTTAAGTTTTTGAATAAAGTATGGCTTGCAAATACACTACTTCTTGGTCTTTTATAAGGAGTAACATTGTTCGTAACTTCCATTATAGCCTACTTTATACTAACTACCAAAATCGCCAAATGCAATCTTCTGCCTCTCGGTTCTTGGGTTCTACGCATACAAAACCGGTTCGGTTCCGGTTCGGTTCTTGGTAGGAACCGAACCACATTTTCTCGGTTTCGGTTCGGTTCGGTTCCGGTTCTACGGTTCTGATACGGATCCCTACCCACTATGTACAATGCAACAATACAAGTACAAAGTGGCTTCCAGGTTTTGTATACTCAACGACAAAAGTGTAAAACGCCCACTACCAATGAGATACGCGAAATTGCAGCAAGCTTCTGGCGTGCAGCAAACGCCACACTTTTTAGTTTTATACAATAAGATTTTGCGTCAGCTAGGGAACAAATTTACCTGGTAATTTTGCGTTCCTAGTTTTGTAACTTGAGCAACAATAGTATGTGACAAAACTTGAGAAACGACTTGACTTGGCCAAGCCAAGAGATATGCAAAAATGATAGAGAGAGAAAGAGACAATGTTTATTCATGTGTGTGTGAACAAATGTATATGAAATGGTTAAGCTTTTAAGGCGATCACTTGAACTTTGATTGTTCTCTGCCAAAACAATTTTTCTACAGCTGCTGTAACCGAATTTTTTCCTCTTTTCCGTCGCGATTCCTATGGCAACTGAACATACCCCTTTCATCACAGGTAGTTACCAGTGATACAATTTCAAATTCAATTGTTTGTATTGTAATATTTAGTGCTTATTAATCTTTCAATGTGGTAGCTACAAAAGCTTTTTTATTGCAGGCCAAGAACCGCGGGAAGTCGGTCAGACTTCAAAAAGTCATTGACCATTTAGAACATGACATTGTTTCTAGCTCTATCAGAAATGACCTACGCTGCACAAAAAGAACATATGTTTGATTAGTAAAGGAAGCGGCGGCTTCGTTAGAAATGTCAATAGTAAGTGTCAACTACTATATCTGTTTTTTTTTCTTACGCAGGTATATATATTAAACACGGACTAATGCATTGATATCTTCTAGGGAGATGAAAATGTGTGATAAACGTGGGTTGTGGATAGAGTAAAAAGATTGAATAAGAGACAATATGAAAATACAGTGAGAGTCAAATATGAGATGATCTTTATTGAATGAATTCACAACCCTTTATATACTGTTGAAGATGGTGTCTAGACTTCCGTCTGGATGAACTGATGAATGGATCGCGGACATGCCGGATTTCGGATGTTTCAAAGATGAAGAAGGATGGGAAGGTTGAGTTTGTCGGCCATGATAATGGACGTTGTCTTCCGATTGTAAAGAGTCATCTTTGCTATGATCAGTGTGTTCCTTGTTTGGCGAAGTCTCACCTTTGTCAGTGCTGGAATTGGTATCCGCTCTTTGACAGGTACACTTCGCTCAACTCAGATAAGCTAGATTCAAAGGAAGTGCTGACTAACTCGAGAATAGGACAATGTGTATACAATGGTTGGTCCTGAGTTATTCTCGATTGGTAATCCATGTTTGAGAGATTATCGATATGGTGCTAATTATGTAATAATTGATTCATCCGTGTGTGTGGTGTTCTCTCTACTGCGTTCTAATGGTTACGAAGACGGCGGAGCGGGTTGAGTTGTCCGGATCAATCTCAAAGTAGTGTGGTTTACCACATTACCCCCTTCCAGGTTAGATTATAACCGTTTGTCTTGAGAACTAATGGAAGTTTAAAACTTCATAACGGCGAGCTTTTAAGCGTTTGCTTTGACGTGATGGACGTGTAGACGTTGAGGGCCGCGTTGCAGTACCACGTTTCGATGTAGATCGTGTCGATCGTGCGGATCGTTTGGATGGTTGTGCAGAAGCAGTTATTGCTTTGTTCTGCATTGTTGGTGTAACAGTACCAAGCCGCGTCCAGTACTCAGCTATGCGCTGTGGGCTACTGAACTTATCAGGAGGGAGCCAGCTGTCATCTTTTTCATCATAGCCTTCCCATCGAATTCTGTATAGGTAATTTCCACCTGACAGTTCTTTGTGGTCTACTACTGCTTGAACAGTGTACCAATTTTTTCCTTCTTGGCGTATCTCATCAAGTGAAACAATTTCGTCTTCGGAAATTAACTTGAGTTGTGAAGGAGGAAAATCTCTAGGCATTAAGAGTCCTTGTTCATCCATAAGAACGTATGATCCGCCTTTTGTTTCCCTGACTACGGTGTATGGTCCTTCATAAGCCGGAGCTAATTTCCCACCGCGTTTCATATCCCTAATCATCACTTTGCTGTGCGTGGGAAATTTTACTAATCTGTACTTTTTGTCAAACTTGCCCTTCTTCAAGTTGTTTTTTGCTTGTACTCTTTCAGCGATAGCTGGGAATACAACACCTGCCATTTCTTCAATGCGTCCTAGTAGCTCATCATTTGTCATTGGTCTCAGAACATCATCGTTGGCATAATTTTCAAAACCATTCATTGCTCGTGCAAACATTAGAGTGTAAGGTGAGGACCCATGTAGCTCTGTTAGTTTGGCGTTGATGGCGAGTTGTGACACCGGGACGTACATATCCCAATCGCGTATAGCGCCTTTGATCATTTTGCGTAGCATGTTGACTGCTGTTTGTACGTGGCGTTCGGCTAAGCCATTGGCTCTAGGGTGAAACTTCGTGACTAGGCGATGAGAGAACCCTGCTTTCTCTTCCATCGTTTTCATCAGTTGGTTCACGAATTCCGTACCATGATCAGATTGCAAAAACCGCGGAAAACCATAGTTACAGAATACGTCGACAACGACGCTCGTAATGGTTTCTTGTGTTTTGTCGGGAATGGCGCGTAGAACAGTGAAACGTGTGCAGACGTCGACCATGACTAGTAAATAATTATTATTTCGATTGCTTGTCTCTAACGGACCAGCTAAATCAATTGCCCAGTGGTCACCTGGAAGGTACGCATAAATAGGGCGAAGAGGGTGATAACCCTTTTTTACAATATTGTACTTTTGACACTCTGAACATTTCCGAACGATTTCGACCGCGTCTTTATTTATAGCAGGCCAGTGTATACCGTCCTCATGCAGTCGCGCAGTCATTGCTTCTGAACCAAAATGGCCGAAGGAATGTGCTGTCAGTAGTAAATCTTCGCGTTCGTTTTCTGGTGGTACTAGCATTTCCTGTAAATCAGCACTTGTATACGCTCGACGGTTGTATAAATGTCGGTTTTTTCTTATGCGTGGTGCATTACCCCCTTCCAGCTCTTTTTCAGTATGAAAAAGGCGAGAAAGTCGATCGGGGAGGATGTTATCCAGACCGGGTAGATGAACGATGTCGAAATTATATTCAAGCAACGTATCCAACCAGTTGAGCATCATAGGATTGGCGATTTTTTGTGTATGCAGATACGTAAGAGCTTTGTGGTCCGTGTACAGGGTGAAGTGGTTTCCCCAAAGGTATTTATGGAATTTGCGTAATGCAAATATTACGGCTCCTAGCTCTCTTTTGGTAGTACTCCAGTTTCGCTCGGACTTCGATAAAGCGCGTGCCATGAATGCGATATGGCGAGTCTCTCCATTGATTACTTGGTATAGGCAGGCAGCAATACCAGAGTTGGATGCATCAGTGGCAACTTGGAATGGATGGCGCAAATCCGGATAGCGAATAAATAGTAAGTGTGTGATTAACTTTTTAAGTGTGAGGAATGTGTTTTCCTGTTCGTCTGTCCAGACGTGCTCTAAAGATGTTTCATTGCGTAGCTTATCCAATGGAGCTATGATGGTGGACACTCTAGGAATATGGTCCCGGAGGTATCCTATAACTCCCAAGAAACTTTGAAGTTGTTTACCTGTACGAGGTCGCTCTATTTGCTATATGTTGGTCACCTTCCTTGTATCTAAGGTGATGCCTTGGTCGGAAACGCAAAAGCCAAGCAAATAGACACTTTTTTGTGCAAAGTGGGATTTTTTGATGCTGATCCCCAGGTTGACCTTGGTGAGTTGATCGATGACCACTACCACATGTTTAGCGTGTTCCTCTATTGAATCTGAGTATATGATAATATCTTCAATGAAGTTACTCACGTGATCCTGCATCCCTTGGAATAAGGTAGACATGCATTTTTGGAAAACAAATGAAATGTGACGGATTCCAAAGCAACATCCGCGATGCATGTATTGGACACCATCGAAGGTGAAGGATGTGATAGGTCTGTGTGGTTTATAGATGGGTAATCTGTTGTAGGCGACGTTATGTCAATGGTGGTCATTACCTTACATTTGTGTAACCGCGAGAAAATGTCCCGACACAGAGGTATTTCATTCCATATTTTGCAAGTGTTTATTTATATGACGAGTGTTAAGGCAGACTCGACGTTTGTCATTTGTATAATTACCGAATTCATCTTTCTTGGGTGTGAGAGTGAGTGGGCTATTCCATCTAGTGTTAGCTAGTGCTTGTACTATAGTACCATTCTCTAACCATGTATTAATAGTGTCTCGCACAGTTTGTGTATGTGCAATTGGTAAATCATACTGCCGATGCCAAGATATCAATCCTTCTGGCATATCAAGCATACTTCTGCTTCAGGTACAGTACATAACGCTGTTGGGGGAATATTCGCGTTGGCATTGAGATAAGGCTGAATTGCCTGCATGAACTCTTCCTGCTCTTCCTTTGTTCCTGCTGGTGGGTTATTTGGTTCGGGTGCATCATTAACAACTGTTTTCTTTTCCTCCTGTTGTGCACTCACAGAAGTAGGGAAGTTGTGCTCTAGACCAGTGATACCAATACCAAGTTTAGGAGCAAGATTCATGCCTAATGAGATGGGTAAATCTTCATCTGCAAGTTCCATGACATAGAAACTATGTGTAAGTTCTTTGGTACCATAGACATGGAATGTTCTTCACAATTCCATATATGGGAGCAGTTTTGTCTTTTGAAGCAAGTGTAACAGGTTCGGTAAACTGACTTTTATTTATGACAAAATTCTATTTTTTGGCTAAGTTGATGTCTATATAGGATGCGTTCGCTCCAGTATCAAGTAGGGCCAGATGCTTGTTATTCTGTAAAAACATGGGTAAGATAATAGAGTCAGTTTGTGCCTGTGATAGTGAGGAACTCCTGTTGCTTAAATGTGTCTTACATTGTAAATCTAGCTGGGCCATATCTATGTGAGCCTGTAGCCTTCTTCCTTGTTTGCATCCTCGATCTCTGCTGTTTCGATGCAGGTAGCTCGGTTCTTTAAAACCGGTGGCTGTTGATGTTGCTGTTGCTTGCCCTTGACCAAGAAAAACTCCTGGCACTTATGGCCTGGTGTGTATGGCACCTTTTTGCAATACCGCCATAGGTTATTTGTGTTATTACTGGCGCTGTTGGTATAGTTGTTGCCTATGAAACCTGGACCTTTGCGGTTGATCAACGTTTTGAGGAGATCGCAGTCTCTCTCATTGTGATTGCCTTTGGATGAAGGCGGCAATGCCTTTCTTGACCATTTGCTGCTGTCCTGGTGGAGACCATGAGCCATGTGAACGACTTATTACCCTTGTAGCCGCCTTGCGTGGGTGTTGGACCTTTACCTTTTCATCATCAGACGACGACGAATCAGATTCGGCTTCATTATTTTCCCAATGCTTGTCATGATAAGCTGGGAACCTATGAAAGGTTGTTGGGCTGTTTCAACCCGTAGTAATTGGTAATAACCTGCCATGCTCGTTCACGGATGGTCTTGACCAGGACGAAACGTAATTCCATACTAGCTCCTCGCCATCCTCGAGCCCAGCATCAAACACAACCTCCTGGAAACGCTCGGTGTACAAGCGGATTTGCTCGCCCTTCTTCTGGGCATGCTGCGTGCTTCGTACCATTTTTTTCCAACATTGAAAGGGTTACCAAACGCCTTTTCTAACTGGGATCGTACTTGATGCCAAGTAAATTCCAGTCTGCCAGTGTTCGATCAAACCACGACCGTTGCAAGTCGTCTCATGTAAGCCAAAATAGCCTTTCGAGTGTTCCTCGATTGGTAGTCTTGCACTTTCAGCTGAACTTCGAATGTGTTCAAAAATGCCTTACAGATTCATGACTTTCTTGTTCTTGTCCCACAGGGGTCCACCGCAACTTGGAAGGCTGGCAAGTCCTTGGGCACAAGCGTTTGTTTCTTGCTCTTAACGCCTCTGATTCTTGTTGGGGTTGCAACTTGATGCATTGCCATCTTGTTCTTTAGCTTCTCAAGGACTATTGGCTGTCACCGCTCAGTCAGCTCCGCCTGTGCATGGTCGCCCAGTTTTTATTTGTTGGCTCATTTGTCAATGCATACACCAATTTGGCATATGCGGCGTCTACTCGTTGGCGCAGTCAGTGATCTACCTCCTCAGATGAGGGTTGGCGGAATATTCCTGCTGTTGCGTGGCTTGCACACTCGATCCACCATTGCTATTGGACACCTTGGCAGTTTCGCGGACTTGTTCCGGCTGCTATTGCTGTATGATTGCTCCTGATTGGCAGAAGAGGGTCGCCCATGACAATATTTCATGCGACTCGCCTCCTTGGTGGTCTTGCATGCCTTGGGTCGGTTGGTTTGCTTGTTCGTTGCCTGGACCTTGGCTATCAGTGATAGGATCAGAGTAGTTGGATTGGATTGCAGACATGGTAAGTTATTGGTAAGTTCAGATAAAAATAAAAGGGACAATTCACTGTAAAAAATGTGATAAACGTGGGTTGGGATAAGTAATAAGATGAATAATAAAGACAATATAAAATACAGTAGAGTCAAATATGAGATGATCTTTATTGAATGAATTCACAACCCTTTATATACTGTTGAAGATGGTGTCTAGACTTCCGTCTGATGAACTGATGAATGGATCGCGGACATGCCGGATTTCGGATGTTTCAAAGATGAAGAAGGATGGGAAGGTTGAGTTTGTCGGCCATGATAACGGACATTGTCTTCCGATTGTAAAGAGTCATCTTTGCTATGATCAGTGTGTTCCTTGTTTGGCGAAGTCTCACCTTTGTCAGTGCTGGAATTGGTATCCGCTCTTTACAGGTACACTTCGCTCAACTCAGATAAGCTAGATTCAAAGGAAGTGCTGACTAACTCGAGAATAGGACAATGTGTATACAATGGTTGGTCCTGAGTTATTCTCGATTGGTAATCCATGTTTGAGAGATTATCGATATGGTGCTAATTATGTAATAATTGATTCATCCGTGTGTGTGGTGTTCTCTCTACTGCGTTCTAATGGTTACGAAGACGGCGGAGCGGGTTGAGTTGTCTGGATCAATCTCAAAGTAGTGTGGTTTACCACAAAATGTTTCATGGAAACGTATTGAACAACAATTGGCAGGTGATGAAGCAGAAGAGTCATCATTACCATCTTTGCCACAGTCATCGACTTCTCCTCCAGACTTGAAAAGCAAACTGACTGCTGCAGACAAAATCACATTGACTGAGAAGCTCCAAAATTTCAAAAAGCTTCATAAAGATTATTTCTGGGTCTTAGATGCCACAATGCGACAAGCAGAAGTTGATGATGTTGAGCCAATTTCTGTAGAAGAAAAGGTTATGGCGTTTGCGTTGGGATGCGAGTATTATCAGTAAGCAAAAAAATCTATTATGCGTAGTTTTGGGTTTTGGATTTACCAGCTAATCTTGCCATTTCTCAGTCCTTCCCAATCTTTGATCCTAGATTTGGGGGATAAAAACTGAAGTTCTGTTTTCAGTGAAGAAGAGCTCGATGAAATACGTGGTGCTGGTGGCGATTTGCCTTGTGGTGTACCGAAAGAACTTGAACAATGCTTCGAGAGTCTTAAAGAATTGGTATGTACATATAAGCAAACAAATAAAGAAACAAAGAATATGATGATAGAGTACTAATACTATTATATGTTATAGAAAACTGGTGCGGAGGTGTTCAAGTATGCAAGAAGCATTGAAATCACCGATCCTACCAAAGAAACATTGAAAGTGTGGTTGTCGACCGAGCTACAAAATATAGCAAGTCTCTTTTTAGAAACTGGGACATTCGATATTGGTAGTTTGATGGAATCGGACCAGTTGTACCGGTGTTTTGATTTTTATGCTACAGTTTTTAAAGGAAGTTCCATCTTGGCAAAAGGGTAAGTCAATCACTAATATAAACATGAACAGAAAAATGAGTAGAAAGAATGCACTGAAACTGATTTCTTGTTGTATTCTATAGAACTGAGAAGTCTAGTGAAGCCAATGCCAGCTTGGTGAACCAAGACCGACAATTATCATCTATAATGCCAATAACAAACCAAAAGATGGGAAGGCGAGTGGATACGCTCTTCAACTGTGGTCATATCGAGCTTGGTTGCACAGAAATAGGTGCCACAAAGGACCAAACAAAGGAGATGCACGATAGCTTTCTCAAGATGCCTATTATATTGCGCGATATGTTGTTGTTGGCGACTTTTAGGCCTAACCTGCTGCATCAATCCCATGTGATTGGATGCAGTATTTCAGGTTTGTATTACTCCCGCCACATGTTAGAAAAAGAATGCTATGAGTTACCGAAAGTATTTTTTCTAATGTCTTCATTCAGGTGGCTGCGTCTCCTTATTGGATGTCAGTATTCTTCAAAAGGGTTTTACCACAATAATCAGAAGAACCGACCCACTTCAGGAGGTTAACTTTAAATATTATAATTTACAAGAATTTATTATTTTTTAAAAAAATTTAGATATAGGAAAATATTTTTATAAAAAAAATTATTTTCTCGGCTAAAAAGACTTGTCTTAGTTGAAATAATTAAATAGTAAATCTTAAATATTTAATAGGGGTTGGTGTGGTAGGACAAGAAAATCTTCGATTTTTGAAGTCCTAGCTGGTCTTTCTGAAAAAAAACCTAATATGATGGTAATCGTATATTAGAGAGTTAATGATAACTAGTAAGTTATTAATTAGCTCTCTCAGTTTTCCAGCAACAACAGCAATTTGGTATCAAGATTATACCCGTTATTGAATCGTGCGTGCATTGGTAAAGAATTGATGGAACAGACCCTTGACTTGATCAACAATACCATGTGGCCAATAACATTATCAACTGGAAGAAATCATTGGTGTCTTCCTTCGAATTTCCTCCCATCTCCACAACCAGCATCACGAAAACGACAACAAGCAGATTAACATCATTACCAAGCTCTCATCTTTATACCATTTTTTTTACCACCATTTGTACCTCGTTTTCATCATCAGTACCTTTTTTCATCGCCAATATTGTATTCTTTTTTTGCTGTTAATACTGTAACTTTTTTTGCTCATCATGAAACCCATTCATCATCCTGTTTACCATCCATTGCTGCTATACATCCCATATACGTCGTGATATACCAAAACGAATTATAACAATCTTTAAGTGGGATCACCCATATTGCTAATTAAGCTTTTATATTGAGGAGCTCCTTGGGTATAGCTTGAGACTGTTTGTATATATGTATATGTAGAAGCTCACACATGAAACAAGAATAGCTCAATAAAATGGTTATTAGTATATCACAACGTATATGGGATGTATAGCAGCAATGGATGATAAATAGGATGATGAATGGGTTTCATGATGAGCAAAAAAAGTTACAGTTTTGACAGCAAAAAAAGAATACAATATCAGCGAGGAAAAAAGGTATTGATGATGAAAACGAGGTACAAATGGTGGTAAAAAAAATGGTATTAAGATGAGAGCTTGGTAATGATGTTAATCTGCTTGTTGTCGTTTTTGTGATGCTGGTTGTGGAGATGAAGTATAAACAATATCTATAATATTTGTTATAATAAATAACAATATTATAATATTTTATTATACTGTCAAGCGTTCAAATAAAAATCTAACTTCGATGTTTTTAAATGAACTGGGCGTCGTCGTACCTCCTAGCCTGTTTTCCCTCAAACATAATAGTTGAGATTATCTCTAAGGGTTGAGAATATTATAGGGTTTGAGAAATTACTTTTTTAATTAAAAAAATTATTTTCATCACTTATTGTAAACACTTTAAAGCTATATTACTTATAGTTTTATACATATTTATAATATCACTAAAAGCATAACACTAGGGGTTACCCTCCGATGGGAGGAAACTCGAAGGAAGACACCAATGATTTCTTCCAGTTGATAATGTTATTGGCCGTATGGTATTGTTGATCAAGTCAAGGGTCTGTTCCATCATTTCTTTACCGATGCACGTAAGATTCAATAACGGGTATAATCTTGATACCAAATTGCTGTTGTTGCTGGGAAACTGAAGTGGGTCGGTTCTTCTGATTATTGAGGTAAAACCCTATGGAATACTGGCATCCAATAAGGAGACGCAGCCACCTAAATGAAGACATAAGAAAAAATACTTTCGGTAACTCATAGCATTCTTCTTATAACATGTGGCGGGAGTAATACAAACCTGAAATACTGTATCCAATCACATGGGATTGATGCAGAAGGTTTGGGCTGAAAGTCGCCAACAACAACATATCGTGCAATACAATAGGCATCTTGAGAAAGCTATCGTGCAGCTCCTTTGTTTGGTCCTTTGTGGCACCTATTTCTGTGCAACCAAGCTCGATATGACCACAGTTGAAGAGCGTATCCACTCGCCTTCCCATCTTTTGGTTTGTTATTGGCATTATAGATGATAATTGTCGGTCTTGGTTCACCGAGCTGGCATTGGTTTCACTAGACTTCTCAGTTCTATAGAATACAACAAGAAATCAGTTTCAGTGCATTCTTTCTGCTCATTTTTCTGTTCATGTTTATATTAGTGATTGACTTACCCTTTTGCCAAGATGGAACTTCCTTTAAAAACTGTAGCGAAAAAATCAAAACACTGGTACAAGTAGTCCAACAGTTGCTAACCAATATACTAAATTACCTGAGAAACTGAAATGTCCATAAGCTAATTCAATAATTAAATCTTTAGAATAGGATCCAGTTAAGAATGGTAAAGCTATCAAACTTAAAGATCCAATTACCATCATAGAATATATGAATGGTAATAAATTAGCTAAACCACCAAATTTTCTTAAATCTTGTTCATCATTCATTGCATGAATTACAGAACCAGCAGATAAGAGTAATAAAGCTTCAAACCATGCATGGTTTACTAAATGGAATAATGCTACATTATATTGAGAAAGCACATTCAATTGAAAGATTAAAAAATGAAAAGATTATTATATTTAACTTTATAATCCAATTCTATAGTACATTGAAGGATGTAAATAATCTAAAATTAAATTTTGAAAATGTCTTAATTCCCTCTTAGAAATTACAATTCTATATTGATCTTTAGATTTTACACCATTAAGCTTTAAATAAGTCTCAATATATTTATTAAATAAAATAACTTAGAGTTGTTCACATTCCTCTTTTGTAAAATTATCTGTACATAAAAAAATTCTATTCCTAGATTTATCAAATGTACCATCTCCTGCTACCCAATAAGCAATAGCTAAAGGTGTAAAAGTTTTATCAATATCTACAGAAATAACCTTAAAGGTTAATTTTCCCATTTTTTGATACTATTTATTATATAATTTAGTAAAATAAGGAAGTGTAACAGTCTGAAACACATATGATGTTTTAATTGTACCATATTTTTTATCTGTTCTAATTAATATTTTAACAGGGTTAATTAAAATACCAAATGCCCTAAAGATGTTTTACAAACTCTTCGTCTTTTTGTTGTACACTTAATAAAGCATGTTTTCCATTCATTCTTATGTTTCCATCCCCAAGCATCATTCTGTAATAATTTCATCAAATGAAAAAGGAAGATCTTTAGATAATATCTCTTTATCTTCAGGAGAAACATAATGACGAGATGATACTATAGAAAAAGTCAAAGCATAACTTACATCTAGAAGATAAGTTAAATATTGAGTATTATAAATTAGCTTTCACTTAAATCTATTGATTTTATGAATCAGACTATTTCTTAATTTTTGTAAAATAACAAAAATCTATCATATGTAGTCTCTGAGGTATATATAAATAATACCTGCTAATTATCCATCCAGAGATAGATATTATTACTATTAAAGTACCCTATACCTTGAGATTTTTTAGTATTTAATGATGTTTTTAATTTGAAGCCTTTGACCACAAACTAGGAATAGAAGACCTAATTGAGAACAAGTAGAATAAGCAATTACTCGTTTTAAATCATTCTGTAATAAACCTGTAGTTGCAGCAACGAATGCTGTTAAAGCACCTACCTATGTAATTAAAATAAAGCTGTAGATCCATATTCCAATACTGGGGAAGATCGTAGAAGTAAATATACCCCAGCTGTTACCATTGTAGCTGCATGAATTAATGCAGAAACTGGTGTGGGACCCTCCTAATAATCCTTGTTGTAAGATAGTGTCAACCCATTTAAAGAACGGGGAAGTTACCCATGAGTGTGATGGGATAATTGGTCTTCCTTTGAGAGGACTCTTATGAATTTTTGGTATTAAATGGAATTTTGGTAGTTTAACATCCTGTATATGATGGTAAATATATTTGGAGTGTTGTCCAGTGAAGTACTTTGGTAGAACATCACCTCTATATCCATTTAATTTTATCAAGAGATCATTTGCTTTTTCAGCGACCGCACTTATTATTTCTTGGGTAGAAGCATTAACCCGTTGATAAGTAGATTGATCCTTGAGTTGGGTTTCACCTTCTGAAATATACCAGGAGGTATTGATTATGGTAAGTCCAAGATTTTTATCAGAAGGTTTAATAAGAATGTCAGGGTTCTTGGCAAACTCATATATTTTCTTTGGCAAGTGTCCTATGTTAGGGGGTGATTCATTTGAGTACAAAGAATGTAACCCTTGCCTAAAGTTGAATAAAGCCTTTTCAGTAGATAAATTTCCCTTTGGTGGTTTCCAATGGGGATTTTTTATGTGGAATCGGATATCAAACCTAGTAGGGTTATCAGGTTTTGTTTCAAAGAAATCTCTGATTCGTACTGAGCGGGCATATTTGGTATACGCCTCTTTGACGTATCTGTAGTCTTTTGTAGTTTTTGGAATAAACTTATGACCAAGACCAAGTAGATGTTGTATTTCTTTAGGTAATGGTAGACTACTAAGATTGTGTACGCTTTTATTGTATATGATAGTATCTAGCCATAATGGAGAACTATGTTTGACAATAAAATGAACTCTGTCTTTGACGCGGGCACTATGGAAGAACCATGGTGGGTAAGTGTGTATTTTCCTGACATCAAAGTGACGACATGTTTTCGAAGTTCGATCAGAGCCATGTGTACATTTATAAAAATCAAAAGAAAATGGATTCAGGCTGGTATGCTTGAAATCCCTAAACTTATAATTATTTTTATTTATTTTTTCTTTTTGGAGGGGGAGGCGGAGGAGGGATTTTTTGCCCTTTTGAGGGACTTGAACGGGGTGGGGGCGGGGGCCAAACGTTTTTTGTTGTTGTTGTTGTTGGTCTTGGCAGCGGACTTGGTGGTGGGCTTGCCTGGAGCCTTGACTCCTTTTTGAATCCGTCCCTGGGCGGAGCCAGGGACCCGGGACGGGGGCCTTTTCCCGATAGGCTGAGCGACTTGAGTTTCTGCGTTAGTCGTTCATCAACCAACTTTTCAACCGATTTCGAGGCGACGGACGTGTCACTCATGACGATATCGGCGGCAGAACGGGCGGCATCCTTCTTATCCCGAGCGCGAGCAGCGGAGACAGACGCCCAACGAGTCTTGGTATCCAGATCTTGAATCATATATCCAAGATGGGACAGCGAGCGGGACAACAAACCTAGATATGGATTTTGATTGTCCGCCAAAATACCCATGGCCTGAAGGTTTTCAAAAAACCGACAGCGGAGAGACCGGAGCGCACGGGAGGAGTCAGCCAGATCGTAGTGACGTTGCCAAGCCAATTTCTTGGCCTGTAAGGCCTGTTGGAAAACAACGAGGTGGGCGGCATCGACAGCTTGCTGGATAGCAGCTGACATGGAAGAACGTTCTTCCTCGGAGACTACGGTAGAGTCTACCGAAAAAGAGGCGGGGCCAGGGACAGCAGCAAGGACGAATTGCGGCCATGAAGAAGTTGAAGTACGGTAGTCTTCTAACTTTTCTATCTGTTTTTTGGCAGAAACAGACTCGAGATAATGGTTCTTAAGGTTGTTAAAAACAACCTTAAGGGCCTCCTGGACCCAAGCAGGGAAAACCGACCAAGGGGAAGCAGTGGCAGGGACCTCGGAAGCTAGGAAATCCGCGGTGCGGGCACGAACGGGGTCCAGAACAAGAAAGCCGTCGGAGGACAAACCAGCGGGCGCAATCTGGGCCGAGACCTTAAAGGCAGAAAGATCGTCGTTGGCGTGGGCGGCGGCGGTGGTTAGTGTGGTCATATTGATAAAAGAAAAAATATGAAAAAAGAAAATTTATATGTGTGTGTGTGTGTGTGAGAGCAAGAATAAGAAGTGACAGAAAAAAAGCAAACAAA